AGACTTCACAGAGTGACACGCCTGCCCCCTGGCCCTCTTGTGCAGTTGTAATTCATGTGTTTTTCCAAAGTAAAGGGTATCTGCCCTGCCCCACAAGGGTTCCGAGGGCCTTTCCTAGTTGACCTCCTTGATGGTTTACCAAACGTGGCAGTTAGGAAGCCCTTCAGTGCCTCTGATATATTCCTGAGTCATTGAGCTTTGGCTTCACATAGTCTGTTTGCTTTCCCAAGGAAGTGGAACGCAACCTCCAGGATGCCATGCAGGTGTGCCGCAATGTCCTCTTGGACCCCCAGCTGGTTCCAGGAGGTGGGGCCTCTGAAATGGCTGTGGCCCATGCCTTGACAGAAAAATCCAAGGCCATGACTGGTGTGGAACAGTGGCCGTACAGGGCTGTTGCCCAGGCCTTAGAGGTCATCCCTCGCACCCTAATCCAGAACTGTGGGGCCAGCACCATTCGTCTGCTTACCTCCCTTCGGGTGAGTTCCTTCCCATGCTTTTGCTCTTGATGGGGTGGGGAAAGCTGACCTCCACCAGGATGGTTTAAGAGGATGGTTCACATCGTGCATCAGGCTTTCCTGACAGCTTAGGCCTTCTAGTGTCCTCTCTCTGAGCGTGCCACCTATTTGCTGTCATTGTCATCACCTTTTTTCATTTCATTTTTCTTGGTTTATTACCTTCATGTTCTCTGCCCGCTTCCTCGTTCTGTTTTTGCCTTGAACTGTTGATGCTTCTTCCAACTACAGGCCAAGCACACTCAGGAGAACTGTGAGACATGGGGTGTAAACGGTGAGACAGGTACCTTGGTAGACATGAAAGAACTGGGCATCTGGGAACCACTGGCTGTAAAGCTGCAGACATACAAGACAGCAGTAGAGGTGAGGCGCCCTGAAACCTACGCTGTGCTGTTTATTTACAGATAACCAGAGACCAGGGTGTTGGGTTCAGTCTTGAAGGGAAGGGTACAGATGGCAGAATGTTCTCAGATCTCCTAGGGAATCTGTTCCCCTACTTAACTTCCAGCTCATACAAAAAGCAAGGTAATAGTAGATATGCATTGCTTGCTGAGGGAGAGGTGCATTTTACAGGCAAGGCTCTGAAAAGGCAGATCTCAGATAAAATGTTAATTATGTAGGAGGAGCTAGGTTTTAAAGAAAACAAGTGTTCTTCCTTTCTCTGCTGACCTCTTTGGGGCTGTGATTTTCCCTAGACGGCAGTTCTCCTGCTGCGGATTGATGACATTGTCTCAGGCCACAAAAAGAAGGGTGACGACCAGAGCCGGCAAGGCGGGACTCCTGACGCTGGCCAGGAGTGAGTGAAGGGCAAGGTGACCTCAACGCACAGAGCCGGCAGAGGCTTCCTCTTCCCTGAGCCAGACTGCCAGGGACACTGTGGACGTCTCTGTTTGGAAGGGATCAGGTTGAGGGGCAGCCCTGGCCTCTTCCTGTCATAGCTCAGTTTGCAAAAGGCACTGACATATAATTCTTCTCTATTGTAAGCTTTCCATTTAATGTAGTTTGCTTCCGTTGATTAAATCTAAGTCATTTGAGATGGTGGTATGTGTTTTTCAACGTTGGTTCATATCTCTGCCTCCTGGCAAAGAGGGACGAGACAGAAGATTTTGCTGGGGAGGAAGGGAGATGGGAATGAGGTAAGTATCTGCCTCCCTAGAGGTGTATTTCAGACTTCTCAATAGTTGCTGGTGGGAGAGACTCTTGGTTCTCTCAGAATTCAGAGGTTCATACTTTAAAACTTGAAGAAGCACCGCTTCGTATTCACCACCCAAAGAACAGGAGGAACCTGTCCAGACCATGGGTGTTCCCCATCTGTGGTTGTGAATAGAGCAACACCCAGTATGTGCTAGGGCTCAGGCATTTGTCCTAAATAACATAGAACATGTGTATTTTCTATTGTATCCTTCCCATCTTACCTGGAATGCTTCCTCCCCTGTTCTTCCTGACTGCAGTCTGTACTCTGGCCTGCTTGTGTCACAGGCAGAAATAGAAGGTTTAATCTCATTCTCTGCTTTGTTTTTATCAAAGGAGAAAAATAATGGCCATGGGATGCTGGAGGTCAGGTGGGGCCAGCCTGTGATTTCTTCAGTGTCCTTCCTCTTAGCTCCTGGGCCCTCCACACCCCCTTTGTCCTTATGATTCATACAGTTAGACTTTATCTCCTTCCTGATCTCCGGACTTGGTCATATTAAGTTGAATACTAGGTAGGATCATAATAGCACATGGAGCTTCCTGTATAATAAACATTCTAGTTACTGTGCACATATTAATTAGTCTTCATGGTGACACTTAAGATGAGTAGTATCCCCCCATGTTGCCATGGGGCATCTATCTGGCGCAGGTAAAGTTGTATAAGGGTCACAGGGCTGGGAAGTGGCAGACTGGATTCCTGTGTGATCTGCCTCCAGGAGCCAAGCTCTCAGGCTGTGCTCGCTGCATGAGGCGTGCGGGGGTCTCTGGAAGCCTCTGGTCTGTCCACACCCATGGCCCAGCATCCTGCTCAGCTGCTCGAGGTCTTTGATCTTCCCCCTGTCCAAGGGCTCTGAAGTAAGCCCACCTCTACCTCATTAATCATCACTTCAGAGCTCCAAGACCTTAGAGAAGAGATAAGTGAACTAGGTTTTGAAGAAATAGTGCACAAAGACCCTGTGTATTCTTCCTCCCATTTGTGATTTCCCCTATGTCCACTCTGGCTGCGGTTCTACCAGTCAGGCAGGGGGTAAATGAATGCTGGGTGGATGTGTGATAGCCTTCCTGCTGTGGTCAGAGCCTCTCTGTGCGCCTGTCTCCTGGCGACTTCCATCATTACACACCCCTTTGGCTTTGAGAGTCCCTTCTAACTTTCTGGGCTGGAAGTGAACATGGTGATTATGGGATGCCTCAATCCCTGCACTTTGTGGTCCTGGGAACCCAGTTTTGCCACCTGCTTGACTTTGCTCATGGTCCTCCCTGTCAGACTCCTGGATTTCCTCCTATAAAGCAGTGTTTTTGGTGGTGGGGAGGCTTGAATCCCTGATTACCCTAGCTCCCTCTACTTAGGCAAGACTCTTGTTTCTATTTCCCCCAGTCAGTTCCCAAAGTTGATACCTCAGATGATACAAGTACTTGTCTCAAAAAAAGTTTTTTGAGAAAACTTGAGTTCATCCTAGAGTAGCCGTTTGGGGAAAAAATGAAATTGGATCCCTACTTCATTCACTGTTTGCAAAATTAGTTCCAGGCAGCTGAAAGATTCTGAAAGATTCTGAAGAAAGTGAAACTAGAACACATGACATTTTTTACTATATCAGAGTGGGGAAAAGTAAAAATTTGCATTGTGAAAACAACAAACAGGAGGTAGGGGGATGCGGATGCGGTGATATTTGTTCCAGTACAAAAAGTAATTTCTTTAAAGAAATTTTTTTTGAGGGCAGCCCTGGTGGCTCAGCGGTTTAGCACTGCCTGCAGCCTGGGGTGTGGTCCTGGAGACCCGGGATCGAGTCCCACATCAGGCTCCCTGCATGGAGCCTGCTTCTCCCTCTGCCTGTGTCTCTGTCTCTCTGTCCCTCTCTCCCTCTCCGTGTGTGTCTCACAATAAATAAATAAAATCTAAAAAAAAAAAATTAGGAACTTTTTTTTTGAGATTTTATTTATTCATGAGACAGGCAGAGAGATAGGCAGAGGGAGAAGCAGGCTCCCTGTAAGAAGCCCAATGCAGGACTCGATCCCAGACCCCAGTATCACACCCTGAGCTGAAGGCAGACACTCAACCACTGAGCCATCCAGGTGTCTTTAAAGAACTTTTAAAACTTGGCAGTCAAGGGGCGCCTGAGTGGCTCAGTCTGTTAGGCGTCTGCCTTCAGCTCAGCATTGTGTTCCTGGGGTCCTGGGATCAAGCCCCCCAGGCTCCCTGCTCAGCTCAGTCTGCTCCCACTCCCTCTGCCCCTTCCCCAGCTTGTGTGCATGCATGCTTTCTCTCTCAAATGAATAAAATCTTTAAAAAACAACAAAAAGAATTTGGCAGTCAAGGAGATAGGGCCCATAGAAATAATAGGCCAAGAGTGTAAGCTCCAGAGAAGTGACAAACACAGAGCTAATAACATTACTTGTTAGGGACATGCATGTAAGTGTGAACACTTAATGAAGCCCTTCTGGCATGTGGCCTGCCCATCAATAGACCTCATACACAGGTCAATTTGCCCTGGCAGTTTGAATCCTGGCTGCTTATCTTCTATATTTGGGTTCAAATGTGTATGAAATGCTGTACATACAGAGAGTTTCATTTCAAAGGGAAATTGTGATGTACCACAGTTCTGTTAAATGTATCCCTGCGACCTCCCCCTGCAGTAAAATATTTAGTGGAGAATGAGTTCCAGGTGCAGAGAACAGTCTTCAATGTGTAAGTGAAAAAGCAAACTGCAGAAGGGTGTTTGGATTCCATTGCATGGTATTACATATATGTGTACACACGCAGTGTGCATGTGTACACATTGTGTACAAAACATCTTTTTTTTTTCTTCAAGATTTTATTTATTCATGAGAGACACACAGGCAGAGATGCAGACAGGCTGCCTTTGGTTTAGTTTTATTAAGTGGGCTCTGCCCAGCATGGGGCTTGAACTGTAGGCCCCAAGACCAAGAGTCGCACGCTCTACCGACTGAGCGGGCCAGGTGCCCCTGCATGGAACATCATTGGAATGACACTATTACCAACGCATTAGTTGTCTCAGGACCTGGGTTGCTGGGAAATAAAGATGACAGACACCTTTCAGTACCTTAGGAAGTTTGTGTCATAGGCATTTATTATTAGTCAAAATAATTGTTTTTTAGTCAAAATAACTTTAAGCAAAAACATCCAAGAACAACAAAGCGATTTATTCAGCCAGATATGAACTCTGACAAAATGTATGTGGTGTTCTCACCTATTTATTGAAGTATCTTTTCTCTGTAATAAAACAGCTCTTCTAGGACAGGAACCTGCATTACTTAGGGGCTCAATAAATATGAACAACTGGCAAAATCAACTGGGCTATACTGTCCCCCGCCCCACCCCTAATTTCTGCAGATTCTGCTCTTCTCTACAGTACAGTTGGCTTATTGGGATCATTGGGATCTTGGAGTCTGACATAATGGCCATTACAGGTAGCCAGTGTGGCCAGTTGGGTAGGAGAGGCCGTATGGCTACGCACTTGTCTAGTCTGGGGTGTCTTGCTTGGAGCCCTGCTGGGGATGACAAGCTCCTAATTTCTGGGGTTCTATTCTCTCTCCAACGTCAATTGGCTCAAGGGAGGTGTCTCTTTAAGAGCTGGTGGCAGCCCCGCCCTACAAGGAGATCAGCTGGGTGTGTGAGTCACATGACTCCCAAGTCTCTTCCGCCCTCTGCAAGTGGGGCCGCATGTGCGGCCATGAGGGGCCCCACTGGGGCTGGGGGCGTTGTGCCCCCAGTTCCATGCTCCTCCTGATTCAGCTGCTGTCTGCAGCCCCGTTTGGCCTGCTGGGGGAGGAAACTCGCCAGGTGAGGGGCTAGAGCAGTAGGTGTTCCTGGAAATGCTACCCTGGGAGGCACCCAAGCGGCAGGGCTCGTGGGGCACCGCCAGGGCCCTGGGACAGGATTGTGGACGAGGGTGGCTCCCGGGCTCCCTGTCTTAAGGGGACACCTGCCAGCGCCTGACTCAGCCCTGAGTGACCCAGGTCCAGTAAGAGTTGGGCTGCTTCTCACCCCTGGCCCCACATCCTTGTCTGCCTGCTGGAGTCAGGGTGGTTGTGGCTCTGCCCGGCTCTCCAGGCCACATCCCTCCAGCCGATGCCTGCGCCTCAAACCAGATGCCCGAGTTCCCACACCGCGTCTCTTGCCTTTCCCCATTGTTCCCCAGCTGCTCTGTCCTGTGCCTCTTTCCTGACCTCGTTCCCCTGACCCTCCACTATGCCGTATTCCAGGTGTCTCTGGAGGTCATCCCTAACTGGCGGGACCCCTCCCCGAACCTGCTCCACATCCGGGCAGTGGGTAGCAACTCCACACTGCACTATGTGTGGAGCAGCATGGGGCCACTGGCAGTGCTGCTGGTGGCCACCAACACCCCCCACAGCACCCTGACTGTCAACTGGAGCCGCCTGCTCTCCCCTGAGCCTGACGGGGGCCTGACGGTGCTCCCCAAGAACAGTATCCAGTTTTCTTCTGCCCTTGTCTTCACCAGGGTGAGGAGGTTGGGGAGAGCCAAGGGGAAGAGTGCTGAGCAGAGGGTTCATCCAGACCCAAGGTGGGGACCAAAGACCAGGGTATGGGAAGTAGAGTCAAGCATAGGAGCCATGGGGTGGGGGTGGCTCTGGGGGGAGCTAGACTCAGGCAACTCCTGTCCCATCTCACCCTGCCTGCCAGCTGTTTGAATTTGACAGCGCCAACACATCTGAGGCGTCAGCCAAGCCTCCAGGAAAACCGTATCCCCCGTATTCCCTGGCCGAGTTCTCTTGGAACAACATCACTGACTCCTTGGATCTCGCTACCCTGAGCGCCACATTTCGAGGCCGCCCCATTCAGGACCCCGCTGGGGCCTTTGCCAATGGCAGCCTGGCCTTCAGGGTAAGGGTGTGGGGAATGAGAGGAACACCAAAGGCTGTTTTCTGAGGGTGGGGGTGGTGGCCTTCACATACAGGCAGGTCCCTGCTTCCCATGCCTCACCCGCTTCCCCCATCCCAGGTGCAGGCCTTCACCAGATCCAGCCGCCCAGCCCAAGCCCCGCGCCTCCTGCATTCAGCGGACACCTGCCAGCTAGAGGTGGCCCTGTTTGGGGCCTATCCCCGGGGAAACCGCTCCCTGTTTGGGCTGGAGGTAGCCACCTTGGGCCAGGTCCCCGACTGTCCCTCAGTGCAGGAGCAGCGCTCCATTGATGATGAATATGCACCTGCAGTCTTCAAGGTCAGTCTTCAGGCGGAGAGGCGGATGGGTGGGGGATGGTAGGACTTCAAAGAACCATGTAACCAGTTACCAACTAGTGGTGCCATTCAGCTCATTCAAGTGCTGGCCACTGTGCTGACCCAGCCTCTGCCTTCAGTGGGGAAGACAGAAGGCAGCCAGGCCTGGGGGCTGGGGGTTGGGGGAGCCTGGGGACCTGGGGCTGTGAGCTGAGTATAGGCTTGTGGACGTCAGGGCTGGGAAAGGACCCAGTGTTCCCGAGCCACCTCCCTTTCTACAGAGGAGGGGCGGAGGGCCTATGTAAGCAGCCTTGGGGCATGGAGGCAGCCTAGGCCTTTGGACAGTTGGTGACATTTGGGAGGCCAGGAAGGGTGGAGGAACAGGAGGGTGGGCAAAGGTTGGTCCTCCTCATCCTGTTGTTTTTCTCCCAGTTGGACCAGCTGCTGTGGGGCTCCCTGCCCTCGGGCTTCATGCAGTGGCGGCCAGTGGCTTTTGCCCAGAGGCAGAGGGGCCGGGAATCATCCCTGCCCTGCCAAGCTTCCACTCTTCGCCCCACCTTGGCATACCTTCTTCCCCAGTCTCCCATCGTCCGAGCCTTCTTTGGGCCCCAGACTGACTTCTGTGCCTTCAACTTGACATTTGGGGCTCCTACAGGCCCCGGCTACTGGGACGAATACTATCTCAGTTGGTGAGGGCCAGGGCAGGCTGGGGCTTTGGGAGTGGACGTGGGGGTGCCTGGCTTCCTGGTCTTCCTGCCTAACCTGCTTACCTGTCTTTCTCACTCTCCCTGCCCTAGGTCAATGCTCCTGGGTGTGGGCACCCCTCCAGTGGACGCCTTGTCCCCGTTAATCCTAGGCATCATGGCGGTGGCCCTGGGTGCTCCAGGGCTCATGCTGCTGGCAGGAGGCATATTTCTGCTGCTGTGGCACAAGCAATGCTCCCAATACCAGCCTATAAACTGAGGCCCACTCTCTGGAGGACAGGACATTAATTAGTGGGCCTGCGTTGCTGGTCTGCCAGTTGAAGGGTTAGCTGCTCCCTTCTGCCATCTTGCTTTTCTGCAAAACCTCAGGGAACCCCCAGGCGGGGCTTCCATCATACTCTCAGTAGGGACCAGCAACAGGGTGATTGCTAGAGGTGGGGGGGGTCCCTTAGTGATACCCCTCTGCCCTTCCACCATTTTCCTGGCATGAGACTCACAGACATAAATCAAAGGCCTTCTGATTGGTTGGCTGCCCTAGAAGGCACAAAATAGACTCATTTTCTCCCTGGTGCTTGTCTCAGTGTGGATGTTGTGGGCAGGTGTTAGGCTGGTTCCAGGAACCAGAGGCTGAGATGTGGGCATGGTAGACATGTCTCTCCTGGTGCTCTCTGGGTCAGACGAGGGACAGACACCTGAGAGTGGGGGGTCAAACATGAAGGAAGAGCCAAGGAAGGCTGGCTGCCACTTCTTGTCACCCACAGGCTCCCACGGGGTTGACATCAGCTGTTGGGCCCTGCAGCCAGTCCCCGGCTACCACCTGTGAGGGCACACACGCATGTACACTTGCACACACACCCCTCCCCCTCCCGAGGTGGGCCTCTTCTCCCCCCTGTACCTCTTCCCCTGGGAGACACATATTGTGGGCATTTCAGAGGTGGGAGGTTACAGGGGCCTAACTGGGTTGGAAGACAGGAGACCAGCTCTGGGCTGGAGCAGCTTTAATTATCTGAACTGAAGCTAAAGGTCCCACAAGGGCCAGCAGTGGAGGGTCCTGAACCCAGGCCCTCCAGAAGGTTTTCACCAAATGTGAAAGTCCTGATTGATCGGATGCCCAGTCTTTTTCTTCAGCCTGGGCAAGGTTTCCAGTCTCCCTGCGGCCCTCTGCTTAGACAATGGCACAGAAACAGCCAGTTTGGCCATAGCTCTGCCCGCTTGAGGCCTTGCAGGAGGCTGGAGGGTGGGGCAGGGTCCTGGGGGCAGTGCTGGGGCTGCTGGGGAAGGAAACACACCCTTGCTCCTGATGCCCTGCCTGCAGCATGCAGAAGGGACATAGCTGTCCACCTCCTTCCCCACAAGAAACCAGTCAAAGTCCCTCTCTCATGATGGCCCCGGGCTCCTGAGGTGAAGGGCTACACCAACGGGGGGAGCAGGGACAGTCGGGGCAGTAGTGCAGCTTCTCCCCCGAGGTGCCAGGGCTGGGCTGAGGCTGCAGAGGCCTCAGCCCCAGGGCCTTGGCCTGTGCTCCAAGGCTGAGCGGGCATGGTCGGGGTAGTCCAGGCGGCTCTCAGCCGCAGTTAGCATGCGCTCAGGCTCCACCAGGAACATGTAGTAAAGGTTCCACACCAGCATGGCCAGCAGGGGCAGGAACGTGAGGCCATAGCCAAAGCCTCGGAAGGAGCGGCCCACGGCAAAGGTCAGCCAGTAAATGAGCCTGCGAGGGGAGGGCAAGAAGAGGTCAGCCTCCCCTGGAGGGACGTGCATCAGCTAGCTGGCCTGGAGGCTGATGGGAAGAGCAGATGGGGGTCAGTGGGTACTACCGATACTTCTAAACAGCCCATGCTCCTGCACCACTTTAGAAACACCAACGTACACATCTTCACATCTCCATGAGACGAATATATTATTCCCCTCCTGGTTCACTTTCCAAATTTTAAGTTTAAAATTTTTACGTAGGGATCCCTGGGTGGCGCAGCGGTTTAGCGCCTGCCTTTGGCCCAGGGCGCGATCCTGGACACCCGGGATCGAATCCCACGTCGGGCTCCTGGTGCATGGAGCCTGCTTCTCCCTCTGCCTGTGTCTCTGCCTCTCTCTCTCTCTCTCACTGTGTGCCTATCATAAATAAATAAAAATTAAAATAAATATATAAATAAATTTTTTACGTAGGGATGCCTGGGTGGCTCAGCGGTTGAGCGTCTGCCTTCAGCTCAGGTCATGATCCTGAGGTCCTGGGATTGAGTCCTGCATCGGGCTCCCCACAGGGAGCCTGCTTCTCCCTCTCCCTGTGTCTCTGCCTTTGTCTCTCATGAATAAATAAATAAAATTAAAAAAAAAAAAAAAACAACCTTTGCACAGACAGGATACATTCACGTGGTTCAAAATGCAAAAGGCTCCAGTGCACATAGTAAAATGTCTCCCTGTCCTCATGCACAGCCACCCTAACCTGGCCCCTCTGCCCCCACCCTCGGATGTCCAGTGTCGTGGCGGCTTGCCCATCAAGCGCTGTTTTATGCGCAGATAAGCCAGTAAATGATTGATGTTTTCCTTTTCCTCTTTTCTGAAGTGTGGTAGCACACTGTGTAGACTATCCTGCACGCTGTTTTTTCCCCCATTAACGTTATATCTTGGAGCTTAGTGTTCTATCAATACATGACCAGCTTCCTCATCTTTCACAGATGAAGTACACCCCCCTGTAGGGATGTCTCCTTTTGCAGATGAAGAAACTAAGATTCCAAAGGGGTAAAGAAAAACCGGTCCAAGGCCACATGTCAGGGAAATAGTAAAACCAGGCACGAACCTAGGCCCAATCAGTATCCTCTCTCCTGCTATTTGAGAGGGGCAGAGGGGAAAAGAGTAAGCAAGCCAGCTCCACGAGGGCCCGAAGCCCAAGGGATGGGTCTTTCGGCTCCCCGAAGATCCACTCAAATACATACCCCTCAATGCCAGGAGGGCAGCAGTTCCCTCTCAAGCCATGAAGGACTACTTAGTACAAGACGGACATAGCTGTGCCCTCCTGCATGGGTCGGAGGGAAGGATGGAGGAAAAAGCCCCAGCGGGCAGCATGACAAAATGAATGCTGCTGCTGAGCATTCACTGCGCACTGGGCTCCTGCGAGGGCTGTATGAACAAACTCGTTTAATTCCCACAACTGTGCTGCACAGATGGAGGAGCAGAGGCATGAGTGCTCAAGGAAGGTGGGGAAGGGAGGGGCCTGGGTGACAGCCGGAGGGGCCTGCATTCCAGGCCTGAAGGGCCTCGGCCACTACCCTGCCCTGCTCTGTGGTGCTCTACTTGCTGTGGAATGGGTGCGCAGGGCCAGATAAGCACTGGGCCTTCCTGTAATCCCCTCACTACTCTTACTGTGTAAGCCAGCTTCTGAGGTCGGTGCTCCTCAAGATACACATGGGAGAGTGAGTTCATCTTGGGAAGCATCTGGGAAAAAACAGGCTGCACAATGGCCAGCACACTGGTGGGACAGATGGTGCTAGACTACAGTCACAAGTGACAGCGACAGCAAACACATGCTAGCTCAAGAGGAAGAATGTTCTAGCAGTTAAAGGGACCTGGAATCCTGTATCAAAAGTAACAAAAGCAAATAGGGAAATAATGGAAAGTTCTGCATGCGCCTTCAGAAATTCAAAAGTGCCTCTGGGTTAACAGCAGTTGACATGGACACACCGTGAGATTTCAGGTGACTTCCAAACAAAGGCAGAGGAATGAGGCTGCATGAGAGCCAACGTGGCTCCTGCCAGTGAGCACCAACAAGTAGGACAGTCTCCTGCTCCAAGGGAAGGTCATGAGACTCAGGGACAAGGATCGTTTGGTAAAGTAAACCCTGGGGGAGGAGGGTGTTGGAGTGGGGACATGGAGAGCTGTTGTCAAAGATCTGGATTGTCCTGGGCAATTCCAGAGTCAAAGTCAGGGCAGCAGTTTACAGCACTTTCTAGTAACTGGGACCTTTGATAAATGAGACACACGGTCTTACACTGAATTGAGCTTTGGTGATAGGGGCTGTCCAATTGCAGGCCAAAGACCACCTGACCAGAGTCTCTGGGAGAAGTGGCAGCAATGGGTGGGAGGCTGATCCAGGCGACACCTTCCAGCTTTAGGTTGGTCAATGGGTCTCTGAAATCAATTTCCTTTGGGAAGACACATAGCTGGTCACCTGCTACCAGATGAGGTAAGGTGTAAGGGAGAAGGCAGACTCACCGATCCAGGTGCACAGCCGGTTAACACAGAATCCAGAAGGCTTCCTGTCCCTGTCATTTCCCCAGACAAGAGGCCTGGGTCCCTCCAGCACCATCCCCTCCCCCAGGCCCCACACCCAGCCAACTCACCGGGAGACAGCAAAGAGACCAGTGAGCAGAGGGAGCAGTTTGAGGGTCTCTTGGGGCAGGTAGGTGGAAAGCACAGCCATGTTGAAGAAGTACAGGATGAAGAGCTGGACTGACTGGGCCACATACCGCCGGTGGATCTCCACCTCCCGCCGTGGCTCCCCAAAGGGCCGCAGGGCCGAGAAGCACAGCAGACTCAGCCCATACACCAGGAGCCCTGTTGGGGTTGCAGGACACACAGGGTCAGCTGGGGGCAGCAGGAGGGAAGCCAGAGTGGGGCTGCAGGGGGTAGGGAGGGGTGCACCCACCCCAGCCTGGGCTGGCCCGGGGTAGGGGATCTCCTGCCCCCCTACCCTGCTCCCTTCTCCCGGCCTGGCTCACCCAGGATGATGGGGAAGGTGGCAAAGACCCCGCAGCGCAGCGTGTAGATGAGGCGAGAGCTCATGGTAGGCAGCCGAGGAGCATCGAAGGGCAGGAAAGCGTAGGCCCCATACAGCAGGCAGGGAAAGAGGACGAGGGCGGCCCCCATGGAGGCCACGGCTCTCAGCCCCTCCCGGCCCCCGCAGCCCCTGCAGCCCCTGCAGGAGCGTCCAGGCGGCTTCACCACGGCCTCAGCCCACTTGCGCTCGCGGGGCTCAGGCTGAGCAGCCCAGGAGGACAGGCAGGCCCGTCCGCGCTCGCCCTCGCCCGCCTCACAGTGCACAGCTGCGTCCTCCTGGGGCCGCCGCTCAATGCACTGCAGGTCGATGGGTACAAAGGCCCGGGCCACCTTCTCGGGCAGCAAGTTGGCATCATCTTCGCACAGCTCCTCTAGCTTGGTGGGTGGCTCTGACCGGAGTGGCTCTGGCTCGATGTCCCGCCAGCCTGGGGGGTCTGGGAATGGGGCGCTGGGCTGGGGGCCTGTCCCCCACGGCAAGGTGGCAGCCTCGCTCACTGTGCTGTTGAGACCATCCTCAGCCCCCTCTCCAGCCACAGGAGATCCAGCTGGAGACCCCATCTCGGAGGACTCAGCTCTGTGGGACTCAGCCCCACCTTCCCCTTCCGGCTGCTGGCCATTGGGGACCAGGGCCTGGGGCAGGCTCTTCTCCACAGCCTCAGACCCCTTCACTTGCAGCAGGGCCAGGGTTTCGGGTTCTGTCATGCTGGGGCCTCAGTTCTGGTGTCTACCATGAGGTCATATCACCCTGGAGGGAGTGGAGGAAAGCTCTGTTAGAAGTTCCTGGCTTCTGGCCCTTGGGACAGGTTGATAGAATTGGAATGGTTCCGGGCAGCTGGTCTCATGGGCATTAGCTCCTTCTGGGACCTTAGGGTGAACATGGTACAGAGGAAGGTGTTGACATAGGAGATGGGAGGGAAGTGAGCAGCCATAATGGAGACACCTTTTCACCATCAAAGGCCATCCAGCAGGAGAGGGTGAGTCAGGGGGCACAGGCGCTGGCAGCTGGGCCCCGGCCAGTCCACCCACTCTTCCTAACCCCTCCACCCAAACCCCTGGGGTCATAGCCACCCTAGTATGGAAACGGGAGGAAGAGTGGGTTTCTAGAGCTTTGCCAGGAGCTTCCTTCCCACTAGGGGCCTCCCTGTGGATGGAGAAGCTGCTCCTTCACCTTCAAACCTCCCCTTCTCCTTGTAGATTCCTGCTTGGAACCCTCCTGGTAACTGATACCAGGGATCTGCCAACAAATCAGTCCCAAGGAATTAGCAGCAGTAGTGCGCCCTGCTCTTCTGTCTCCAAGTTGTGTACCTGGGCAGTCTCCACACTCTTCCTCAGCCCCTGTCTTTCATCCTCCATCTCCAGAGGGCCTGGGGCTGTCCATTCTGATGTCTAGGTCTAATTATGGCTGTTCCCATGCCTCCTCTCTTGTCTTTCTCCCCTCCCTGTTTCCTCCATCGCAGTGCTGCTGGAAGGGGCTGAGTCCTGTCTCTCCACCTCCTCTAGGGCCTTCTATCCCTTGCCACGTGGACCCATGACACCCTCTTACTTTCCATCTGGAGAGGCGGAGGGTCCCCAACGTCTGGAAAGGAGCTGCCTGGGTCCTCTGCTGGCTCCGCAACTATTCCTCTCAGTGTCTCTCCCTCTACCAGTGTCTCCAAACCTGTCTGACCAGAGCAGGTGGGGCCCAGATTAAAGGGGCAGGCCCCGCCCTGCTGAATCTGCCGACAGAAAAGCCCTGGTGGAGGATATCCTGCTTTCTGAAAGTGGGGGTGCAGCTGGGCATAAAGGTCAGTGTGAGTTCCAGACACATGGGATGTGTGGGAACTTGAAGTTCAGGAAAGCAGAGGATAAAGAGTGGGTCTGTATGTCAAAGGGTGTTTGGAATAGGTTGGGATACCCAGAAAAGAGGTGGAATTTCTACATTTATCCATGCAATATTTGTTGAGCACCTGTTTTCAGCTAAGCACTCTTTTAGGCACAGACACAGGAGAGAAGATGTCAGGTGAGGTCTCTGTCTTCAAAGAGCTTGTTCTATTGGGGTAACAGATGATAAAGACCTTAATCAAGAAGACAATTCAAGTGAAGAAAAACCTCTTTGCCAAGATGACATTTCGGCTGTGACCTGATGGGAAAGGAGGAGTGTCTCGAGGAGAGAACAGGGGAATGACCAGCTCAGGCAATTTCAGGAACAGAAGAAAGGCTGGTGGCTGGAACCAGGAGACAGAGGTGGGAAAGAACTCGTGTTCCTATTACAGCTTATACAGACCACGAAACACCTTGCTTTGTAGCCTAGGTTCAGGGTTAAGAAAGCTGTAAGGATTCAGAGCGACTTTTCAAGCAGAAGTGTGACAGTGGCTGCTCATCCCTGTGGGACCTCACCCCAGAAGCCACCTGAGCTTTGTGAGGGCGGGACGGTGTCTGGACTGCTGGTCCCTGCATCTCCAGAGCCCTGGCTTGTGGCCAGGGGGCAGCAGGTGTTCCATGAATTTTGCTGGGCTGACCAGAGACACCAAGTGAAGTCCAGCCGCGGGAGCCCAGGGCCGCGGCGCCCTGCGAGGGTCACGTCTCGGGAGAGCCTTACTCTTGCGTCCCACCTTTTCCAAGGAAACCTGCACATTCACGTTGTTCAAGTGATGGGGAAAAGCAAGAAGGGGAATCAGCAGTCATCTGAAAGAGATGCGGCTCCAGTGGGGGGCTGGGAAGGGTCGGAAGGATGGTCAAATGGCCACTGCAGGACAGAGCAAAAAGCCTCGCTCCGGGCTTTGGGCCCATCGGCAGCCACCCGGCACAGATTCGGCCCCACTGTCCGTCCCACGGCAGCTTTGTCAATAAAGTTTTTCGCAAGGACGTGGAAAAACCGGAAGGAGGCTGCGTTGCCCAGAGTTAGTTCTGGCAACTTCCCGGAGGGAAAACGAGTTTCGCGAGATTTGGTAACCTTCAGGCCACCGACTCGCAGCTGGGCAGGTGCTATCGCGAGATTTGGCGGGCGGAGGAGGAGCTGTCGCAGGCAGCCGCCTCACAGCGATGGCGGCCGAGCAGGGCCGGCAGCGGCTGCGGCTCCGGCTCTGGCCGGACACGACAGTGGTGGCGGTAGCGGCGGGCGGCGGGGGCCTGTGACCGGGAGCCGCCCCGGACCCGGGCACCATGAGCCAAGGCCCCCCCCCAGGGGAGAGCAGCGAGCCCGAGGCGAAGGTCCTCCATACCAAGCGGCTTTACCGGTGAGTGGCCGGGGCGTGCGTGCGGCCGCCGGGGGAAGTGGGCGCCGCGGGGGCGGGACCGCGGCGGGCGGGGACGGGGTGCGGTGGGAGCGGGAGGGCGCGGCCGGGCGGCAAGCGGGGTCCGCGCGGTGGCGGGCCGGGGCGAGGCGAGGGCGGAGGGCGGCCGGGCGGCGGGGGGCGCACGTGGAGGAGGGCCTTGGCCGGGATCCTGAGGCGGGCCCCGAGCTCTGCAGGCCGCGGAGGTGAGGATGCGGTCGCCGGCGGGGAGAACCTGGAAGGGAGAGGCGCTCCGAGTCCCCCAGGTCGCAGAGGGGAGCGCCCCGTATTACAGCCCGGAGAGCCGAGCGCTCCATGTGACCTTGGGTCTCGCTCTCCACATCCTGGAGGGGTCAGGCTTCGTCTGGATACGCTCTGAAGTCTCTCTGGCTCCAGTTGTGGGGAATTTGAATGAAAAGAGAGGCTGAAGACGAGTCGTGTTGGCCTGGAAGGGCCACGAAGGGCATTGAGCCCGGAGCGTTCCCTAGGTCATGGGCGCCTATTTCAGGGCACCTGGGCACTCCCGCTCTTGAGCCCTGCCTCCTCACAGCCTCATGACTACTGCAGTCCCTGGCCAGGCAGCTTCCATTCCTGGTTTCTGGTTTCCGCAGCACCACTCACTGTCCTGCAGGTCCTGTCTTCACCCCTCATCTTGAGGCCCCTATGCGCTCTCTCACCGGGGTTGGAGGATTTTTTATGCGGGGCTCCTGGACAGTGGGCTCTGGAACTGGGGCAGAGTGGGGTGAAGCATGAGACCAAGCTGAGGTTGCTGCTTTCCAGTAACTGGTAGGTTTTGAGTTTTTCATTTAGCTCAGGCTCTGTAGAACAGAGCCCTCAGAGCAGTGGGCCCCATTTTGGTAGTGAAAGAGTCAAGAGCATGTTGTCTTTTCCTCCCTGGAGTAGGCATCCTGCCGGCTTGGCCTTTGTAAGTAAGAGGCAGAGGGGAGTATAGGCTCTTCCAAAAATAGAAAAGTGATCCAATCCAGCAGCCCCTGGGCGCCTACTGTAGGCTGCCCCAAGCCATCTCAGGGATCCTGAGAAGTCAGCTGTAAGTGGCATGTATGCCTCATCACACTGCCGAATGTCAAGACTGCCTGTCAGTGTGGGCCCTGTCTTGTACTTGTCTCTAGATTTTCATAATGGCCCTGGTTGTCCTTCTAATCCTTCTCAGGGCTAGTTCTTTCTAAACCCACTACCCTCACGGGACTGATGGTCTTTTTTTTATTTTTATTTTTATTTTTTATTTTTTTTAATTTATGATAGTCACAGAGAGAGAGAGAGAGGCAGAGACACAGGCAGAGGGAGAAGCAGGCTCCATGCACCGGGAGCCCGATGTGGGATTCGATCCCGGGTCTCCAGGATCGCGCCCTGGGCCAAAGGCAGGCGCCAGACCGCTGCGCCACCCAGGGATCCCCGGGACTGATGGTCTTAAAGTGATTTGTGTGCACGTGGATACCTCTGCCTGTGACTGTATGTTCTTGGCTTTGAGCAAGGCAGAAACGTAGGGCAGGCAGCAGGTCTCCATTTTTATTGTTTATTAAAGCAGTGGTGATTGTTGGAAGGAACTGGGGAAGGAAGGTCTGATTTCTCTGCCCAAGATAAATGTGTTTTTATTTATTTATTTATTTTTAAAATTTTTAAAAAAATTTATTTATGATAGTCATACACACAGAGAGAGAGAGAGGGAGGCAGAGACATAGGCAGAGGGGGAAGTAGGCTCCATGCACCGGGAGCCTGACGTGGGACTCGATCCCAGGTCTCCAGGATCGCGCCCTGGGCCAAAGGCAGGCGCTAAACCGCTATGCCACCCAGGGATCCCCTATTTATTTATTTTTTTAAAAGACTTTATTTATTCTTGAGAGAGAGAGAGAGAGAGAGAGAGAGGGGCAGAGACACAGGCAGAGGGAGATGCAGGCTCCACGCGGGGAACCCAACGTGGGACTCAATCCCGGTCTCCAGGATCAGGCCCCGGCCAAAGGCAGGCACTAAACTGCTGAACCACCAGGGCTGCCCGATAAATGTGTTTTTATTTATATTTATATTTATATTTATATTTATATTTATATTTATATTTATTTATTTATTTATCTATTCATTCATTCATTCATTCATTCATTCATTTTAAAGATTTTATTTATTCATTCATGAGAGACAGAGAGAGAGAGGCAGGCTCCATGCAGGGAGCCTAATGTGGAACTCGATCCTGGGTCTCCAGGATCATGCCCTGGGCCGAAGGCAGGCCAAACTGCTGAGCCACCCAGGGATCCCCTAAATGTGTTTTTAGACTATGAAACTGTTACTAATAGCTTCATTAAATTTGGGAAATTCCCACAATCCGTTTACAGAAATGAGATTCTGAAATGTTTTAAGCCCCTCAGAAGAAAAGGCAGCAGTAGAAGGGGTGCTAGAAGGGCCACAAACACCAATTAATTAGGCCGATTAACTGTTTAAAAAAACATGTTTTTTGGGGTGCCTGTCTGGCTCAGGAGAGCATGCCACTCTTTTTTTTTTTTTTTTTTTAAGATTTTATTTATTTATTCATGATAGTCACACAGAGAGAGACAGAGAGGCGGAGACACAGGCAGAGGGAGAAGCAGGCTCCATGCAGGGAGCCCGACGTGGGATTCGATCTCGGGTCTCCAGGATCGCGCCCTGGGCCAAAGGCAGGCGCCAAACCGCTGCGCCACCCAGGGATCCCGAGCATGCAACTCTTGATCTCAGGGTCATGAGTTCAAGCCCCACGTTGGGTTTAAAGATTACTTAAAAAAAAAAAAAAATTGCAATTAGAACTTCCTAGGAAGAAAAAAAAAAAGAACTTCCTAGAGTAATGGTTATTAACCTTTTTTGGATTCAGAACTAAGGAGAGCTCTGGAACTGGTCCATAGAGATGTATGCACGCACTTCTGAGATCTGTCCACGGTACAGAAGTTAAAAAGCCCTGCCCTGGGGAACTAAGCTGACATAGAGTAAAATCACTGATGGCTGTCAGACGGCCCTGGCATTGAGGGTCAGGCTGGCTGAAAGGCAGCCTAGAAGGCATCTGGAGAAATGATAAGCTCTCAGCATTGCCTGTGAGAAGGCCTGGATTACCATCCTACCCCCTCATCTGGGTGCTGGTGGTCACTTTGCCCCATCCGGGCAGCTTTTGCCAGTATACCACCTGAGCCTCCGCAGGTGCTAACCTGCCGTGGCCCACTTTCCCTGACCCAGGAGCCCATGTCTCAGTATTCTGAAACAATCAGATTGTTTTGGGAATCATCACTCCTCGCCCCCTCCTCCCCCACCTTCTTTTGGTTGCTTTTGTGTGCAGAGATATGTCTAAGCTTACTGTTCTCACAGCTGCTGTCTTCCTCTGGATTTTACCTTCTGGAGATGACACGTACCTCTGGCACTTCTTAGCCATCCATTGTAGTTTCCTTGGCTTTTTCTCTTTAGTGTCTGGAGTCTCCCCAGATGGAGACTAATACTTGAATACTCCACGTGTACAAGGTACCTTTATGAGTGCTTTGTGTATTAGCTAATTTAATCCTCACAAAATAGGTGATATAATTACTCCCTTTTTTTTTTTCTTTAAAGATTTTATTTATTTATTCATGAAAGACAGAGAGGCAGAGACACAGGCAGAGGGAGAAGCAGGCTCCATGCAGGGAGCCCAGTGCGGGACTTGTTCCCAGGTCTCTGGGATCAGGCCCTGGGCCAAAGGCAGGCACCCAACCGCTGAGCCACCCAGGCATCCCTATTACTCCTATTTTGTAGATGGGAAAACTGGGACATAAGGAAGTTAGATATTTTGCCCAGGACCCAGAGCCTCTCATATCAAAGAATCTGGAAGACCTTGTGACTACGCTGTACACAACTCAGGACCACCCCTGCCTCTCCCCCACCCCCTGCCCTATTTCCCCCATACTCCACTAATTCAGAAGTAGAATTTATGCTAGGAATGCCTTTCCTTTTTTTTTTTTTTTCTACATTTATTTATGATAGTCACAGAGAGAGAGAGAGAGAGGCAGAGACACAGGCAGAGGGAGAAGCAGGCTCCATGCACCGGGAGCCCGACGTGGGATTCGATCCAGGGTCTCCCGGATCGCGCCCTGGGCCAAAGGCAGGCGCCAAACCGCTGCGCCACCCAGGGATCCCAGAATGCCTTTCCTTTATGCCAGAGACCATAAACCCTTGTGCAGTAATTAATTCATGTCACTGTTATTTGTTGAAGGCTGCCATATGCCAGGGCCACATGGAAGTTCTTCTGTCCTATTCTCTGAGGCAGCTGCCCTTCCTGCCCCATTTTTAGGGACGGGGCAACTGAGGCTTGGAGAGCGTAGATAATTTGCCCGAAGTTACAGACTTAGACACACCAGGGGGCCAAAGCCTGGATTTCTGGCATCAAGGTGGAGGCTCTTTCCATTAAGAGAGTCTAGCTTATATACAAGCTTTCTCTGCCGTGACACTGTGGACATCTGAGGCGGGTTATTCATTGTGGTGGACTGTCCTGGGTATTGTGGGGTGTCAGGCAGCACTCACTAAATGCCAGTAGCAATTCTCCTTACCCCTCTCAAACCCCTGCCACAAGTAGTGACAATCAAATGTCCCCTGGGGTTGGGGGCTCTTCATCTGGAGGGAGACTGTGTTCATCTTGTCTTGTGCAGCTCAGCCTGTAGCCTTCCCGTTCCCTGCCCCTAATTCTGTAGCTTCTCCTCTGGGATCAGTGCCTATTCCCCCACTGCCCCCTGCCCCGGCCTAAACATATGCATGACTCAGGGGCTGTTTGCTTGTATTTCCCTCCAGGGCTGTGGTGGAGGCTGTGCATCGACTCGACCTCATCCTTTGCAACAAAACCGCTTATCAAGAAGTGTTTAAACCAGAGAACATTAGCCTGAGGAACAAGTAAGCTGGAGACTCTAAACCACAGATCTTTACAGTTTCTCTACCCTTCAAACCCTGTCACATATAGACACATATTCTCTCTTACCTCCTGTACTCATGGTACAATAATGGGCTGTGAACTCTGGCTTTCCTAAGAGATGAAATGGGGACTCCTTGCTCTCTCTGCAGCTTCTGCATCTAACAGACTGGTGCCATGTGAATGGCATTGGAGTTAGGGGAGCTGGCCATGCTACGTAATGACAGGAAAGAAAAGTGGGATTAAAAGGCAGGAATAAGGAGAGAAGTGTATAGAGAAAAAAGATTATTGAAGCTTTTACTGCTCCTGCCTTTGTCCTTTGGGGCTCCCTCTGCTTTCCAGGACTGTTGTTTGTCCCAGGTTATGCAGACTGACCCTGGATTCTCCTGGGAAGTACAGGAATTTGTCGGTTGGGGTATTGGCAGATGCCTCCTTGCCCCATCAAGGCTGGTGAGTCTTTGGTGCTCCCCTGTACCCTCAGGCTGCGTGAGCTCTGCGTCAAGCTTATGTTCCTGCACCCAGTAGACTATGGGAGAAAGGCTGAGGAGCTGCTGTGGAGAAAGGTGTACTACGAAGTTATTCAGCTTATCAAGACGAATAAGAAGGTAAGGCGAGGTCCTTGAATTTTTTTTTTTTTTTTTTTTGATGTCCTTGATTTTGAGAAGAAATGTGTCTAAAGAGGGAAGCTAAGAAAGGAAGAAACAACTAGGAAAGTAGGCCAGGGCATGGTTGGAGTTAGAGGAGCCAAGGAGAAGCAAGGAGGGAGGAACAGGTCAGAGAGGTGGGTCTAAGGCTGTGTGGATAACTCGTGAGTGAGAGGAGATGTGGATGGAGTACCAGAGCCAAGAACAGAAGTTCATTTCCTCGTGAGAGGAACCGTGTTAGGGTGGGGGAACCGTCCTCTGAGCTTACTGCTTAGTAGCCGCTCTCCTTTCCCAATGCCCAGCACATCCACAGCCGGAGCACCTTGGAATGTGCCTACAGGACGCACCTGGTTGCTGGGATTGGCTTCTACCAGCATCTGCTGCTCTACATCCAGTCCCACTACCAGCTGGAGCTTCAGTGCTGCATCGACTGGACCCATGTTACTGATCCCCTCATAGGTCAGTGAAATCTGAAAGATGGGTTTGAGGAGCAAGTGGGCTTGAGGAGCAAGGAGGCTGGCCACCTTCTTCCAGGTTCATATAGCTTGTGACCTAGCCAGGCAGAGAGGATTCTAGCAAGACTTCTGGAAGGTCCATAGACTTTGGGTTTATCCAGACAAGCACATGAGGTAGGGTGAAGATCTGAAGGAAAGAACAGTATCTGTTGGTTGGGACTGTAGATTGAGGAGGAGTCGGAGGGAGGGATGGAATGATCGAGAGCAGATCTGGCACTAGAGAATGGTATCAGTAGCATTTGTTTTCTTGTAGTTAAATTTGGTTAGCACTGTTTTTTCTTCTTTTAAGTTTTTATTTATTTACATAATTTCTTTTTTTTTTTTTTTAAAGATTTTATTTATTCATGAGAGAGGGAGAGAGGCAGAAACACAGGCAGGGGGAGAAGCAGGCTCCATGCAGGGAGCCCGATGCCGGACTTGATCCCAGGTCTCCAGGATCATGCCCTGAGCTGAAGGCAGATACTCAACCACTGAGCCACCCAGATGTCCCTATTTACATAATTTCTGTGCTCAACATGGGGCTGCAACTCAAGACCCCAAGATCAGGAGCTGCCCACTCCCCTGACTGAACTAGCCGGGTGCCCCCAGCATTGTTTCTTTTAATTTCAGAGATGGTTTCTTGGTTTATTTTGCAAGTATTGAAAGTTTTAGAAATCTTTGGGGATTATGGACATTCCTTCACAATAGCTTTGGTCTCCATGTGGCTGCCTGAGGTGCCAGTGGCTGTAGTTGACCTCCTTCCCTCCTTGTCTGAGCCCCTGGCCCCTCATGCTCCTTACCTTCCCTCATCTGAGCCCTCACCCTTGCCAGACCTCTGGGACCGAGCTTGTATCTGTGCCACCAGAAGGCGTTCTCTGGTGAGAAGCACAGCACTGCATTTGGTGCATTTACAAAACTTTGTTTACAAACAACATTTCAGGGGCACCTGGGTGGCTCAGTGGTTGAGTGTCTGCCTTTGGCTCAGGTCCCCAGGATCCTGGGATCAAGTCTTGCATCAGGCTCCCAGCATGGAAGCTGCTTCTCCCTCTGCCTATGTCTTTGCCTGTTTCTTTGTGTCTTTCATGAATAAGTAAATAATCTTAAAAAAACCCACAAAAAAGCCCCCAAAAATGTGACCAAAGACTGCCCTCATAGACTTTATACATATGGCCAGAGAAGGCCATACCCCCTCCCAAAAAAAGTGAAGAACCCTTATTTCAAAGAATCAGTTCCCCAAACTCAATTTTTCTCCTCATTGGTATTTTCTCATCCAGCCAACTAAGACATACTTATAAAAAACACTACGAGGGGCTTTTCAGGATGTGAATCGCATAGCCAGCTCAGTGGATGTGAGGTGGTGTGGACAAGACGATGTGCTCTGGAGCCAGTCTGCCTTTTAAGTCCTGGCTGTGCTACTTACCTGCTGCATGACATTCTCCTTAACAGTCAGGTGGGAGTAGTCAGAGTGACTCCCTATGGGGTTGCTGTGAGGATCTGTTAAGTTGACACCGAACAACACTTAGACCAGTACCTGACGTGGGGAAGCTGTCTCCCAAAGAGCTTAGGCTCTCTTAACTGAGGTTGCAAAGCTGCTTGGTTGAAGGGAGAGCTGAGAGCTCAGCACATTGGTCTCTGGCCACGCTGGTCCTCAGCAGGCATGGCATGCTCACCTGTCTTCTTCATGGGTAGATTCTCATAGGCAGCCTTCTCTGCAGGCCTCCTCTCCCAGGTGGAAGCCAGGAGCACCTACCTTGGTCTCTTCATTCATAGTCTATTCTTCCTATCTATCTATTCTATCCTAGGTTTCCCTTCTCTACCCAAACATTTCACCATTATGTGGGGAGCTTCTACGTAAGGCACCCAAGGCTGTCCTGTCACTTGAGCTCCTCTTCCTCCTTTCTAGAAGCCTTCCTATGATGACCCATAGGAGTCATGTTCACACTTTCAAGTCACCTTCACCCATCCCCTGCAGTGCCTTTCTCTCCTGTGAATGACTGCTACCTGTGAGCCTCTGTCTCTACTTGTGTCCTGGATGCGTGTTTTTTTTCTGCCCCATAACACAGTGTTTCAGGATGAGCCATGGATTCCTGATGTCCTTTCTCCACCTAGGAAAGGTGTTTCCCCATTGGTAGGGGGCTGGGGAATGGGCTTCTGAGTCTCTCTGTCTATTTTTCTCAGGATGCAAGAAGCCAGTGTCTGCGTCAGGGAAGGAGATGGACTGGGCACAGATGGCCTGCCACCGATGTCTCATGTACCTGGGGGATTTGTGTAAGGATCAGAACCTTTCATTTTCTGGTTTGGGCTCCAGGACAAGCAGTAAGCTGCTTCAGTTGTTGGTACCACCTGGTATGTGATGGGAGAGCGGGAGTAGTTTGGCCTCTGTAGCTTTTCCTCTCACTCAAATGATGTCCCCTCCTTACTGTTCCTCCATGTGCCAGCAAAGACCAGTGACTATGGAAGAAGGAAAATGAACTTTGAGAAAGTCTGGGTGATAACTTGGTGTCAAGAATGGATTAGGGAGATTTTAATTTGAAGATTTTCTCCTCCTTTGGGATTTGCTTTTCTGTTTATGGACTTCTAGAGGACTTGCAGTTAGGTCTCATGGAGGACTTCCTGCCTGACAAATGTTCCTCAGAATAGAGGAGTCCTCTTTTGCCTGCTGGCCCTTGCACGTCTGGTCCTGGTAGCACCTCTGGTCCTTTTGAGGCTGGTGGATGCCTCACCTTCTGTCTTCTGAGGCACCTTCCGTCCCCGCCCCCTGCGGTGCCATCTTGGGCAGTGTGCACAGAGATAGCCAGCTGCTTCATGTGAGACTGACCAGGTGTTCTCAGTAATGTCTTCACTTCAGAGCCGAGCAGCTGTATTCTAGAACCCAATACCAGAGGTCTTCCCAAGTAGTTTGTTGCAGATCCCCTGCATTAGGAAGAGATAAGTAGGAGCCTATTTCAAAACACTAAATATTCTTCACATGTTGAAGCTGCCAGCAAGGAAGAGAGAGTTGAACAATTTGCCCATAGTCATGCAGAGTTAAGATTGTGCCAGAGGCCCAAGCAGTATACCTCCTAGCTTAGGTATCTTCCCAGACTCTTGCTACAACTCCACATGGTGGACTCCCAGATGAGGGGAGGCTTTTTTGAAACACGACATCATCAAGCTTCCTCTCTCCTCTCTCCTGCAGCACGATATCAGAATGAATTAGCTGGCGTAGACACTGAGCTGCTAGCTGAGAGATTTTACTACCAAGCCCTGTCTGTAGCTCCCCAGATCGGTAAGTGGCACCCCTGCTCGGGACTCCCTACACAGCAGCTTTTTCCAGGAGGAAGACAACGTTAAGAGGGCAAGCAGACTGCACTGGCTTCCCTGGATCCTCCCCATGCTCAGTCCCGTGGTTGTGCGTACCCCTTTGGAACACACGCTCAAAACAAATGCAGAGTCTTGACGTAAGAAGGAGGGAGGCAGAGGGGAAAAGAGAAGGCAGCTCCCCTGTCCCTGGGGTCTCTGTAGAAGGAAGAAATTATCCTTCAGTTCTCTGCACAGGAAGCAGAGTGGGAGAACAGATGAGGCGCCATCACAAGAAGAGTTGGGGGTTAGCTTAGCTCCTAGCAGGAGAGCTCAGGGCTGAGAGGCCTTGCTGAGATAGAGGAGATGGCTCCATGGCATTCTGACAGAGAAGAGCCCCAGCTGCCATTGAAGGAATAGCACCCATTGGTGCTAAACTCCCTGGTAGGCCAGGGTGGAATCCGCTGATAAGAAGTGAGTCTGTAGTCAGTTTCCTGGGAAAATAGGGTTACGGTGCTCATTGCTGGAAACACAGGCGTCAGCTGCAGACCTCGCTGTTCTCCCCACAAATGTCCTAGTGCTTAGCAGGGGTTGCTCGTGGCAGCTTTGGATTAGTACTGTGGCTGCACGCTGCATGACCTCTCTCCCTCCAGGAATGCCCTTTAACCAGCTGGGCACCCTTGCAGGCAGCAAGTACTACAACGTGGAAGCCATGTACTGTTACCTGCGCTGGTGAGTGTCTTCCGGCTCTTTTCCCAGCCAGCTTTTGCGTCCGTGGGGCTCCTGCTTTGTTTTCTCTTTCCTGTCCCTTTCCTCGGCTCCAGGCTGAAACAAGGAGGCCAGGAGTGAGGGGTCCCTCCTGTCAGGGGCACCCTGATGCAGCCCTGCTGCTTGTTAAAGATCCACCTGGATTGGTAGGCACTCTGGCCGCCAACTGGCTGCCCGTTGTCTTGTGTAAAGGATTGCCATCTTGAAGAAGGAAATAAATGTGATGGAGTTGATAAAATCTTATCAAGGCGGCGGCTAAACCAGAACTGCAGAACTGTTGAGTCTCAGTGTCTCAAGGTGACCATGGTGATGGTGTGGGAGGACCAGCTGAACTGCAAGGTGGCTCCCTGCTTCCCTGGTGCTGACACTCCGCTCAGAATGAGAAACCTCAGTTTCAGGACAGCTGAAGCTGACTGGGCTAGGTCACCCAGTCCGTGAAGCCAAGTGCACGTGTGCCTGTTAGGCAGGCTGGGAACCACTGATTAGGTTATAGTTGGAAATGAGCTGCCTGGGCCCCAGCGGCTGCCACCTCATAGAGGCGGACGGCTCCACGAGAAGCCAGACATTTGCAGAAGACAATGCTGTGAATTAGGCTTCAAAGCAGAGGGAGTGGGGACGCCTGGGTGGCTCAGCGGTTGAGCGCCTGCCTTTGGCTCAGGTCGTAATCCTGGGATCCAGGTTCGAGTCTCGCATCGGGCTCCCTGCGAGGAGCCTGCTTCTCTCTCTGCCTGTGTTTCTGCCTCTCTCTCAGTCTGTGTCTCTCATGAATAAATAAATAAATCTTAAAAAAAGGAAAAACAAAATGTAGAGGGAGTAAACTGGTCTTCATAACTTTAGTGGTCACATGCTAAAGTGTAAAGTAAGATTCTGCCTTGTAATTCCATGTGCCGTGATCTGTGGTTCACCTGGCCCAGTAAACCTTTTCCCTTGAATCGGCACAGTGTTTTGCTCTTGCGGTGTCTGTCCCCTGCATTGGTACAGACTGGCCTCTGATGCTGTCGTTTCCATTCTTCAATATGGTTACCAGATTCACAGGCTTCCGTTGCCTCTTCTCCATTCCTCTCATGCCTTCCAGGGAATCCCCCCTTATTGATCCTTGGTCCCTCATCACACTCATGACCATGATTTAGGTCACTTCCAAAGAGGGTTCAGCATATTCAGGTTTGGAGGTACCTGCTGAGGCCCTGCCCCGCTGTGCTAAAGCATTCACATCTCATGTTCTTCATGTTCGTTGGTTAGGCATTTGAGTACGACTCATTTGGGCGGTTCAGTTCCCCCAGGGGCCATATCTAGAATCAATCACTGGTTCCAGCAGCCCTGGAGGGTTGGTATATCTGGAGCAAGGCTCATTTGGACCCCCTCCCACTCCACGTAGTCTTAGTCTTTTTTTCTTGAGAGACATGGATTGCTTACATGGTGGCTCAGTGCTCCCGACAGTGGATAATGACCTAAGAGATTTGTAAATAGAATCTGCCAGTCTCTTAAGGCCTGGGCCTAGAGATTGGCAGAGCCCCTTCTACAATATTCTGTTGGTCAGAGCAGTTGCACTGCGTATAGTCCTTTCCCCATGGTCTCTGATATAAGAGGAGACACAGAACCCACTTCTGAATGGAAGGAGCGTCAAAGAATTTCTAGCTATCTTTTAGTCATTATAAACGTGGTTTTTTTTTCTAATGTATTTTGCGTTTTGTAATGAAAAGAGTTTTTTTCCAGAAAAGACATTACAAACAGTACAATATACACTGTTGACATCATAGGCTGCAGCGAGGCAGGCTGGCTTGGACCCTGCTCTAGCGTGCATTAGCTGTGGGGCCTGGGCAGGATTCCTGCTCTTCCAAGCTCCTCCTCCTCGTCTGAATGTGAGGATAGTCTCAGGGTGCAGTGCCTGGCACTCAATGAGGCTCTCTGCACACACGGTATTCAAGGGAGTGTCATGTGGGTGACTGAAATTGTGTGTAAATGACCTCATATGAGGTCCCCTTGTTAAATGCTACTTGTTAACTGCTTTAGGACAAAGATAGCCTAGTGTATTTCAGGGATGGTGCCTAACTTACGTGCGTAACAGAGGAAGAGTAATTATCCAACCATAGGTACTAAGGAAGCAAAGGCATCATTTTTCCTGTGTTTTTTTTTTAAAGATTTATTTATTTATTTATGTGTTTATTTATTTATGATAGAGAGAGAGAGAGGCAGAGACACGGGCGGAGGGAGAAGCAGGCTCCATGCCGGGAGCCTGACGTGGGACTTGATCCTGGGACTCCAGGATTGCTCACTGGGCCAAAGGCAGGTGCCAAACTGTTGAACCACCCAGGGATCCCCAGTTTTTCCTGTGTTTATCTGGAAGTTGTGTCTGTGTGTTTTATCAGGAAAGATGGCCTTCACTTTGAGTCTGTACATGGAAGCAAAGCTGGGGCAGCATACATTTGCTAGAAGCATTGTTCCCTAAAGCTCCAGCAGAGCGCCATCCCTGCTCTGTAGCTTACCGCTGTGTTTCTTTCAGCATCCAGTCGGAAGTGTCCTTCGAGGGGGCCTATGGGAATCTCAAGCGGCTGTATGACAAGGCAGCCAAGATGTACCACCAGCTGAAGAAGTGTGAGACTCGGAAACTGTCTCCCAGCAAGAAGCGGTGAGTAGGGCCTATGGGGCTGAGAGGGCTCTGCAACTGGGGCGCTAGGACCAAAGGGACTCTGGAGCCATTTGCCATTTACCTTGGGTTCTTCTCCTTCCAGCTGTAAAGACATCAAGAGGTTGCTGGTAAACTTTATGTACCTTCAAAGCCTCCTGCAGCCCAGGAGCAGGTAAGTGGAAGAGGGCAGGCCCTTGCCCTGCATCCTGCGAGCCCTGTCCAGGGTGGCTTTCTCTGAAGTGTCCCTGGCTCCTTGTGCCTGCCGCAGGTGGCATCACTCACCTCCCTGTCACTCCTGCCCTTCTGCAGCCCGGTGGACTCAGAGCTGACCTCACTCTGCCAGTCAGTCCTGGAGGACTTCAATCTCTGCCTCTTCTACCTGCCATCCTCACCCAGCCTCAGCCTGGCCAGTGAGGGTGAAGAGGACTATGAAAGTGGCTATGCCTTCCTCCCAGACCTCCTCATCTTTCAGATGATCATCATTTGTCTCATGGGTGTGCATAGCTTGAAGAGAGCAGGTAACTCCCTGTGCCCTGCTTCCTGTCCCAGGATTCTGGGTTCCTCACTTCCCTTCCTGCAGCCCTTCCTTTGTGAACTTCCTCCCACAAAAAGTGCTTACACCATCTGTGTCACTGCTGGGCTCCTGATGAATGAACAAAGGCAACAGCATATCTCCGTGCCTCCCCCCGGCCTGCAGCAGATCCATGTTGGCCACAACCCAGGCAGACAGGGGCATCAGGATAGTTAGCTGATCTACACAGAATTCACATTTTGCTGTTGGGGGCAGTTAGGCAGTGCTGCAGACCTCTATGGCAGAGGCGCATGTGTGCAAGGTCAGGAGGGAGGGAGAGGCCGGGCTGGATGTGAGTGCTGGAGCTGTGAGGAAGAGCCTGTGTGGAGGCATCAGAACCAGGGAGGATGGCATGGGACAAGAGGGTATGCTCACCTGAGGACATGCAGAGTGAGCTGGCACATTGTAGATGACAAGATAACTGTGCAGAGACCTAAAAAATCTTTTTACTTAGAAGAAGCTTTGAGAAGTAGTTGGATCCTTGAAGAGGGGAAAACATGTGAGATGGGGCTGGAGCTAACAGCACCTGCTGCTCCTCTGAGCCCTGGCACCCTAACACCTGGCTTTCCTGGCTTTAGGGTCCAAACAGTACAGTGCAGCCATTGCCTTTACCCTGGCCCTCTTCTCCCACCTCGTCAACCATGTCAATATACGGCTGCAGGCTGAGCTGGAGGAGGGTGAGAATCCTGTGCCGGCGTTCCAGAGCGATGGCACAGGTGCAGGCATGGGGGGATGCGACTGTGGCAAGGTCAGCCTGGGGCCTGGTGTTTGAGGAAGGGGAGTACAGGTGTGGCTGGGGTGGTGTTGAAGAGCAGCTTCCAGCTTCTGGGCTCCAGGTTGTCCCTAGGTCCCACCTGACAGTTCTCTTTGCACAGATGAGCCCTTGGAGAAGGAGGAGGCGCCAGACCCTGAGCCCCCTCCTGCAGCACCTCAAGCAACTGAGGTCAGAAAGAGCCGGAAGTTCTCTCGCCTCTCCTGCCTCCGCCGCCGCCGCCACCCACCCAAAGCTGGAGATGACAGTGACCTGAGTGAAGGCTTTGAATCAGACTCGAGCCGTGACTCAGCCAGGGCTAGTGAGGGCTCAGACAGTGGCTCCGACAAGAGTCTCGAAGGTGGGGGAACAGCCTTTGATGCTGAGACAGACTCAGAAATGAACAGCCAAGAGTCCCGGTCAGACCTGGAAGACATTGAGGATGAGGAGGGTACTCGGTCCCCGGCCCTGGAGCCCCCTCGGCCCAGGTCGGAGGCTCCCGAGTCTCTCAATGGCCCACTGGGCCCCAGTGAGGCGAGCATTGCCAGCAATCTACAGGCCATGTCCACGCAGATGTTCCAGACCAAGCGCTGCTTCCGACTGGCGCCCACCTTCAGCAACCTGCTCCTCCAGCCTTCCACTGAGCCCCATACTGTAGCCAACCGCAGGTCATGTGTCAATGGAGATGCAGACAAGCCTTCGGAACCAGGTATCTGGGCTTCTCGTCGTCCCACTCTAGTCTGTGGTTCCCTGCCATCACCCGAGAGGTGGCTTTCCTGTCTCTGCAAGTGCCTCCATGTCCACCCTCACTGCCTTCCATGTGGTCTGGGTTTCCCCATTCCTGCCTGTGATCTTCCCCTTTTCACATCCTACCCTGCCCCGAAGGCATGGGGCTTCTGTCCGACACAACCACTGCCACTGTCCCTTATCTCACCAGGGCTCTGGGACACTAGAGGGACTGGCACCCACTAGGGCAGATGGGCAAGAGCGGGACCTCTCTCTTGAGGATATTTCCTGCACAGGTTAACAGCGGCCAAGCCTGTTCTCTGCTGAGCGCTGGGCTGGACTGTTTCCGGGTATTGTTGAACTTTCACGGCAGTCTTATGGAGGAAGAGTTCTCATCCCTCTTCTAAATGCTGCCCCTTGCCACCAGCCTGTCGCTTGGCTAGTTCTTCTTGTCCTTTGGTTTTCTCTTCAAAATCACATGGTCTGGGATTTTGCCAAGGTTAGATTTCTTTTTGGGGGGCTCTTGTAGCCTCTGCCCCCTCCACAGCTTCGAGGCCTTTCCCACTCAGGGGAAGTTGTCTATTGGCTTGTCTGTATGAGCCCGTGGAGGGCAGGATAGTCTTGTTTTTGGTCTTTCCTTGGATCCTCAGTACCTAACACCGTGCCTGTACTGGGTGGGACAAAAGAAGCACTGATGGGATAAAAGAAGCCAGGAAGCCAGTGTGCAGAGGTAGAGTGGCTCCATATTTGACCTGCTAGGTTGAAGAGCTAGGAGTTGAGGTTGTCTTTTTTTTTTTTCGTTTTTTAGGTTTAATGTATTTATTAGAGAGAGAGGGAGCGTGCAGGAGTTGAGGGAGGAGCAGAGAGGGAGGGAGAGGGAGAGAGAATCCCAAGCCCTCTCCTTGCTGAGCATGGAGCTCAAAATGGGGCTTGATCTCACTACCTTGAGATCATGACCTGAGCCAAAACCAAGAGTCAGACACTTAACAGAGTAAGCCACCCAGGCATCCCAGGGGTGGTTCTTTTATTTTTGTATGCTTTTTCTCCCTCCTCAGCAGCTCCCTTCTGATTGTCTGCCCTGCCTTCTGGCACAGAGTAGGGCCTTTATAAACACCGGTTGAAAATAGCTGTAGGCCACCCTCACAAGTTAGCTTGAATCAGAAAGAACCATATTGTTTTATTTTTTTATTTTTTAGTAGCCTCCATGCCCAGCATGGAGCCCAGCGCAGGGCTTGAACTAATGACCCTGAGATCAAGACCTGAGTTGAGATCAAGAGTTGGATGCCCAGCCGATTGAGCTACCCAGGCACCCCAGAAAGAATTTTATTTTATTTTATTTTATTTTTTTTAAGATTTTATTTATTTATTCATGAGCGAGAGGGAGAGGCAGAGACACCGGCAGAGGGAGAAGCAGGCTCCGTGCAGGGAGCCTGATGTGGGACTCGATTCCAGGACTCCAGGATCACGCGTTGGGCCGAAGGCAGGTGCCAAACCGCTGAGCCACCCAGGGATCCCCAAGAATTTTATTTTAAAAGGCACCAGTTTCTTGGCTTGAAAACAACCGGTTAACTGGCATAGAAAGATTAGGCAGGGGTATTTAATGAGTTCCCCATCTTTCACCTCAGAACTCTGCTCCAGAGTGCAGGCAGGGTGATTGTGCCCTCCAGCTTGGGGCCAAAGCCCAATGCCACGTGCCTGCTGTTCATCCCAGCTCTGTCTCCCACTCCCAGCCTCCGAGGAGGGCTCCGAGTCGGAGGGCAGTGAATCTAGTGGGCACTCCTGTCGGAATGAGCGCAGTGTCCAGGAGAAGCTGCAAGTCCTGGCAGCCGAAGGCCTGCTTCCTGCCGTGAAGGTCTTCCTGGACTGGCTGCGGGCCAACCCTGACCTCATCGTTGTGTGTGCACAGGTGCGGCTCTGGGTGTTGGGGGACACAGCCTTGGGGGTGCTGGGAGGCCCATCAGGTGGCTCCATCCCGACAAGTTACCGTCAGGTACCTGCTTTGGGTGGGCCCTTATGCTTTTTACAGGGAAAGGATTAGATGTGATCTCTGCACTCCAGGAGCCTGTGGCCTGGCCTGGGGTACACATTCTGTGAACCAGGAAAGCAAGAGCTGCTTATTCCACTTTGTGTCCCGCACACCAGGCATAATGCCTAACGTGAGGAGTGGGACTGATGAAGGCGTATGTGTGAGGGCCAGCCTCCATCCTGATCCCAGAGTCCAGAAGGAGGAGGGAGCACTACTGGTGCCAGGGAGACAGAGTCCAGGGCAGCTTGACCTCCAGACAAGGCTGAGGTGTTGGGGCAGGAGAGCAATGGAGGATGTGGTGTCAGGCTGGCGCTGCAGAGGCTGGTGGGGGTGGGGGCTTCTCTTCCCCTGGTTCAGTCTGTCCTGAGGGCTCTTCAGTTTTTATTCGGTGTCGCTTCATCCCAGGAGCACAGAGCTATGCTGTGAAGACCCCTCCCCTCTGGTCACCCTCTTTCTCAGATGAGAGTTGGGGTTAAGGCCAGGGACACCCTTGAGTGTGTGCTTATGTGTGCCAGCAGCTGGTAACTCACTATCCTTAGGGGAAGTGGGGTCGCAGCCCCACACAGATGTCCCAGGATGGGTACTTGTAGGCTGAATGGTGGGGGGAAGCTGTCTCCAGCGCTCTAGTTTTTCCTACTCTCAAGATTCAGAGTGTCCTTCCTTTGGCCTCATAGCTTCTCCCATGATCCTGCTGCTGGTGACACAGTGCAGCTGGGCCTATGGGCCCCCTTCATGCCTCAGGGGACCGGCTCCCATTTTTGCAGGTCTCCTGTGAGCACCCCCTTTGCCTCTTTTGTTAGTTTTTCTCTCTGATCCCTCTAGGCCTGTGGCCATAGACATCCCCCACTCCTCAGGTGTCATGCTTTACTTGTTCCCCGCCATACTGAAGGCGTCCCCTCTCCACAGAGCTCTCAAAGTCTGTGGAATCGCCTGTCTGTGTTGCTGAACCTGTTGCCAGCTGCTGGTGAGCTCCAAGAGTCTGGTGAGTGAGTCCGCAGCACTGCCTCTGCTTCCCCTCTCCCTCAGTGGCCCCATGAAGCCCATCCCCCTCCTCCATAACCCAGCCTAGGGGGAAGGAGGTTAATGGGACTCACTGCCCAGCTACCCTGACACACAGCAGCCATTGTGGTTTCTGTGTCTCCGGTTTCCTCCAACACTGCCCCACTGTGGGCAGGTGGCCTGGCTGGCCAGGGAGTGTGCTCCCTGGGGAGGGCAGTGGGGCGGGCAGAAGTGGGGTGAGGGGAGCCTGGGAGCCAGCCTCAGGCACTGAGCATCCACCTCGGCCTCCAGAGCTTACCCCTCCTGCCACCTACAGCTGAACGTGCCCACCTTTCCCCACCTCTGGCCATACCTGAGAGGTGTGCATGTCCTCCAGAGCTCTCCTGGTGTCCTTCTTGAGCCGTGTGGGATGGCCCTCCCTGTGTGTTCAGCTCCCTGTTCTCCAAAGGAAAGGGCTCTGTCTCTCTGGGGGCTCCCACAGGACAGGTGGTCTCACCTGTCTTCTCCCCAGGCCTGGCCCTGTGTCCCGAGGTCCAGGACCTACTTGAAGGTTGTGAACTGCCTGACCTGCCCTCCAGTCTGCTGCTCCCAGAGGACACGGCCCTTCGTAACCTGCCTCCCCTCCGGGCTGCCCATAGACGCTTCAACTTTGACACAGACCGGCCCCTGCTTAACGCCTTAGAGGAGGTGAGGATGGTATTTCTGATGCCACAGGCTCCATGATTAGGCTGGCCCAGCAGCAGAGCAGGTGGCAGACAGGCACCAGACAGGCAGTGTGTCCCAAGGCTGGGCTGGAGGGCTTCCCTCCGGGGCTGTTGCCCTTTGCTCTCCTCCTCACAGGATGCTCATCTGTAGGCACCTTGTTGTAGGATAGGCCTTCCTCCATAATGTCCACCTTCTGCAGGGGGTGATATGGGGAGCTGTTATCATGCTCTTTCCCACTCTGCCCAGCATGGTGTGAGCTGGACAGGAAGCTGTCAGAGAGAGAGAGCTGGAAGGGAAAGTGCTACCCTCTAGGTAAGTCCCCTTTGCGTCTGCATCAGTGCGCAGGCTGTCTGGGGACGGCAGGGCAAGCCAAGCACACATTCCTCCCAGCACCCTCGCCAGTGTGCACACAGGTCTCTTCTGTGCTCCTCTCCAGCTAGAGGACCTTGGATTTAGCTTGTTTCATGTTTTAGGGTTCTAGAGAAGATTTTTGTTTGGTGGGGAAGAATTGTTCTGCCAACCAAAAGAATAGTTTGGAAATGTTGATCTATTTCAGTTCCCTTGTTTTTACACGTGAGACTGAGAGGGAGGTGGCATTAGTGCCCAGCCCCGCTGGTTCGCCAGTCCTGCCTGCGATCTCCTTTCCTGGCCACCTGCGGCTTTGGGTCTCAACACCTCCTTCCCCCTCACAGACCAAAGGCCTTACCAAAGAGCCCCTGCTGCTGAGGCAGCGGTGCGCGTGGGCCAGGTGCGGTGCGGTGGGCAGGGTGGGTCTGACTGGCTCCTGTGTCCCCTCACAGTCAGTCGTGCGCATCTGCTGCATCCGCAGCTTTGGCCACTTCATCGCCCACCTGCAGGGCAGCATCCTGCAGTTCAGCGCAGAGGCTGGCATCTTTGTCAGTATCGCCCAGTCTGAGCAGGAGGGCGTGCTGCAGCAGGCCCAGGCGCAGTTCCGCATGGTGAGTCGTCTGCCCCCAACCCCCTGCTCCGCTCCTGCCCACCGGGCTCACTGCCACACCCGGGGCCCTTGATGGAAGAACATGGTGGGTGGGGGTTTGGGGACGGGCCTTGAGCGGTGCTTTGAGTAGAGGCAGCATGGCACCAAGCCTGTGTCCAGACTGCCTGGCTTGAGGGCCATCTCTGTGCCCTGCTTGTCTTAGCACGTTACTTGACCTTGCCAAGCCTTTTTCCGTACTAGTTATGTGGCACTGGCAGAGTTGGCTCTACAGGGTGGTTGTGACCATAGCATGACAGCACATCTCGGGCACCTGGCGTGCTCGGTAGGTGCACCTGGCCCTTTCTCTTCAGTGATGGAGACTGAGGGTGGAGTGAGTGGCAGTATCAGGGTATTACATGTGTGTCATGCAGGACCCTTCCCACCTCCAGGAGCCCCAAAGAGTAGGAAGTGTTTGAGTTCCCTCTTCCCCAGTGTCCACTCCCCAAACACTGAGAGTGTGCGCTATGCCAGACCCATCTGTACCATAGGCAGCGGACAAGGTAGCCCAGGTTCTGCGGTGGGGCCTGTCTGGCCCGGGGTGTGCTGTCTGCATTGGGCTGGGTGGCACTACATTTTGGCGGGTGGTGTGTGGCGCCGAAGCTCAGCCCACACTGTCTCAGCAAGCCTTGGGGCTTCCCAAGCCAGTCTCCTTCCAGCAGACGCGGGCCTTCCCACTTTTCTGAGCACCCTCTTCCTGCAGACATCTTGCTTGGGTGGGAAGGGCACAGGCTCCCCCAGAAACGCCCTTCTTTGCAGTCTTAAAAGCAAGTGCATTTTGTTAAAAAACAAATCTTTCGTATTAAGGTTTTTGTTGTTTTGTGGAGGAAAACACTAATTACAAAGATAATCGTGGGGAAATTACACAGCTTTTAAAAATGTTAGTTTTTGCAGGTATTTCCTTTAGTTTGAAACTCTAAGACTCTTCCAGGGGACAGGGGAGACCTGAAAGCCCCCATCACATGGTACTGGACACCAAGGTGACATCGCCTGCCGATGCCCCTATTCTGCCCCTATTCTGCCAAGAGGAAGATGTCCATCCTAAGGGCTTAGCCCTTAGCAGCAGCATGGCTGTCATCATAGTGACATCTGCCGTCATGTATCGAGAGCTCTCTATGCCAAACCTGGTTTGCCCATGACAGCTTATTCACCCTTGGGCACAGCTCTGGGAAGTGGGCACTTGCCCTCTCCTGCACTAGACGGGCACAGAGCCACCGAAGAGGTATGGGCTGTGGGATTGGGCAGGCTAGCTCTTCTAAGCTGCTGTGGGGCACAGTTGGTCTACAGGCCCCGTGGCTGCCGGGGGCCACTGCTCCTGCTCCAGGACGCTTCTGCCCTGGGGAGGGACCTGTCTTGCCTGTGGTCTCTTGGGTTTCTTGTGAGGAACACAGAGGCCCACGTCTCTGAGCTGCTAGACCAGTGATGCAGAGCCTGAGGTTGGTGTGGTTCTCTCTCTTCCTGGATCCAGATGGATGCCTACTCCCCCTGGCAGAGGGGCTTCACAATTCTAATTCCAACCTAAAAGGTCATTCCCTGGACTTGATTTCTGCAGTGACAGTGCTCCCTGCCCCTGCCAGTCTCCCAACGGGGCCTGTGAAGAAATGGCCTCAGGTTCTGCTCATGTGCCTCACTCTCCTTCCTGCACCCATGTTTCGCCAAGGGGACATTCTAGGCATTTTGGACAGGGCTGTTCTGTCGTGCAGGACTCTGCAGGGGCATAGGTGGATCTTGCACAGCTGTAGTAATTGTTACAATGAAGACAATAGGAAAGCTGCAGTACTATTAACCACGGACTTTATTCAAATGTCACTAGATTTTCCACTAATGTTTTTTTAATTTTTTTTAAAGACTTTATTTCTTTAATAGAGATAATGAGTAGGGGATGGGGGAGAGGGAGAGGGAGAACCAGATTCCCCGCTGAGGAAGGAACCTGAGGTGAGGCTTGATCCTGGGACCCCAGGATCACAGCCTGAACCAAAGGCAGACAGACACTCAACCCCTAAGCCACCTAGGTGCCCCAAGACTTCACCTACTGAGCCATCAAAGCACCCACTAATGTCTCTTTTCTTTCCCAGGCTCCCACGTTGTGTTGGATTGTGTGTCTCTTTGGTCTGTGATAGTTCCTCAGTCTTTTCCTTTCGTGACCTTGACACTTCTGAGGAGTATCTGGGCATTTAATTTGTAGGGTGTTGCTCCACCTGGCTTTGTCCAGACATGTCTTAGCCCCGTGTGTTCATGGTTAGGATGAGATTATACATTTGAGGTGAATGTTGTAAAGCACTGCTCTGAGGATGTCGCTTTGCTCATCAAAGAACCTACAGTGTTCCCCTCACCCTGGTCTTTAGGTCTCCATTCTTAACATCATCTTTAGACCATGTTAGGGAATTGGGGTGTCATCCAGAAGACAGCAAAAAACCATCAGGGCCACGATGGACACTAGATGGTATTTCCAAGATGGCTTTGGTTGCAGGCAGGGAAAGTGGCTTGGGATAGAGGCAGGGACCAGGGAAGAGGAAGTCATCATCGTCAAGATGGGAGGAAGCAGCTGAGACGGGCGGGGGGTGGGGGGCAACAGAGACAAAGGGGAGCAGAAGTATGTGAGCGATGCAGTTGCGATGCAAATGGCAGGACTGGGAAGCAGTAACTTTGGGAGCTGAGAGGGAACAGTCAGCCAGCTCAGCTTCCTCCCTGGGCAGACAGTAGCTGGTTTCCTGAGTCAGGGATCACCAGAAGATGGGCAGCAGGTTTTGAACAGAGGGGGCTCTCTGGGCTGGAGATGCTGATTTGGAGGAAGTTGGCAAGTGGATGGTGATAGAAGGTGGGGTGTGTGAGACAGCAGCCCTGTAGGGCGAGTGGGTCAGATGGAGCAGAGGGGCAGAGATGGAAGCCTGATATGTAGCCAGGCGCCGCCCTTTGTGGGGACCATGCACAGCTGGCTGCTCCCTCACGTGGGCACCTGGGCTGGCCAAAGCTTGGGTGTGTGGGTCCCAGAAGTCGATCTCCGCCAGGGGAGTGGTTTTTTCTCCCTAAAGCCTCCCTGTCCTTCACTTAGGAGCGAGAGAGCTGACTTCGTGTGAAGGCTTCTTGTTTCAGACCTTGGGAATTCCTGCTGGATGATGCTCTGTTAACAAGCTCTTGATCAGTGGGCAGGGGAGTACAGCCCTAGCTTCTGGTCCTAAGTTTAGCACGTGTTTCGTCTCCTAGGCTCAGGAAGAGGCCCGTCGGAACAGGCTGATGAGAGACATGGCCCAGTTGCGACTTCAGGTAGGTGGGTCGGGGCCCAGCTGCTCCTGTTCATGATCGGGGCATTGGCCAGACCCCATAGGCCCACCATCCCATCCAGCCGCTCCCTACTGTCTGTTCTGCCTCCCCTGCCCCATGTTCCATTGTGCCTGCCCCTGCCCCATCCTCCCCGCCAACCTCTGTTCCATTTCGCCCCTCCACGGCGACCTTTGTTTTAACCAGATCACCTCCCAGACCACCTTCTGCTCATTTCCGATCTGAGCCTTGAGGGCCCCTTTCTGCCCTCAATGCTGTCTCTTTCATCTCCCTTTGCTCCAAGACCCTTGGCACAAGGAGCACCCTGTCCCCCTTGGCAGCAGGAGATGCCCCACAAGAGCCCCCTTGGGTTCCATGCTTCCCACCTGGCTGCAGGGCCCACTCTGCCCTCTGTCCCCAGCTCGAGGTCTCTCAGCTGGAAGGGAGCCTGCAGCAGCCCAAGGCCCAGTCAGCAATGTCTCCCTACCTCGTCCCGGACACCCAGGCCCTCTGCCACCACCTCCCGGTCATCCGCCAGCTGGCCACCAGTGGCCGCTTCATTGTCATCATCCCAAGGACAGGTAGGCTTACTGCAGAGGTAGGGGGAAAGGGTGTGGCTAAGAGACTTCAGGCTTGAGATCAAGAGGCCCTAGGTAGGGGTGGGGGGGCAGTTTACACACAGTGGCCTTGGTCGCTGCCACCTTTGTGAAGCTCAGTCACCTCCTCTGTGCAATGCATGTGACAGTTTCTGTTTAAACTCACAAGATGGGAGAAAACAGGAGAGGAAAACCTAAGTGAACATGTGGTAAATTGCCAGGTACGTTGCTCACAGGCAGTCATACTCTGGAAGAGTGCGGGGAGCCCCGCAGGATCCTGCAGCGTGTACTAGATAGAGCTCAGCCACTTCCTGTGGAGCCTCAGGCCACAGCAGCGGGAGCTCACCTCTTTTGTCCTTCCCCACCCCCACCTTGTCTGCCAGTGATTGATGGCCTGGATTTGCTGAAGAAGGAACACCCAGGGGCCCGGGATGGGATCCGATACCTGGAGGCAGAGTTTAAGAAAGGAAACAGGTGAGTGTGGGCCTGACTGGGCCTCTTCTGAGCCCTGTGTCCCGCTCCTAGACAACAGATGCTTATTTGTTCTTTGGTCCCTGTGGGTCAGACACAGGCTTGCACTCCCTGCGTACTGCCTGGAGGGGGAGGTCCAGAGCCTTGATCATGGGCCAGGGTCTCAGGTGTGGATGGAGAGTAGTTAGAGGGGCTGGAGCCCTGTGGGGAGCATTGCCCAGCTGTCTCTTTGACTCTGGGCAGATCAGCATCACCGGGGAGATGGGAGCAGATCCCCCAGCTCTGGGCTTCTTTGTGGGAGATTTTCCTGTGTCTGGGTCTGCCCAGTGATCAAATCTACTAGGGTGGGAGTGCCTTCACCAGGCCAGCTCTCCCATTGCAGCCATCGGGGATTGGCAGGTGGCAGCATGTAGGTGCTCAGGCCAGCACAGGCCTTCCCTTCTGGGCGTTGGGGCTGGAAGAGCACCAGGCAGTGGGTGCAGAAGAGGGAGAAGCTGGCACCTTCCCCTGCTCCCCCACTGCATCTGCTCTGCTGGCCAGGAAGCTGCACAAAGCCTGCTTGTTCGGACCTTGTCTCCAGAAGCCCTGACTTGAAAAGCATCTGCTACTCCTCCTTCCCCAGCTCCTCCCCCTGGAGGAACCAAAGGATCGATGTTATCAGGAGGAAAAGCGAGCTGGGCTCACTGGCCAGGAAGTTCCTTTGAAATGGCTCCAAAGAGCTGTGATGGGAGAGGTGCCCCTACCCTGCCCATAAGACGGGGGCCCCCTCCCCTGGGCCACAGTGAGGTGCTTTGTGTAAGGTGCTGCCCTCCTCAACCCCCAACCCCCACCTGTACTCTGCTGCCTCCTCCTCCTCTGCAGGTACATTCGCTGCCAGAAAGAAGTAGGAAAGAGCTTCGAGCGGCATAAGCTGAAGAGGCAGGATGCAGATGCCTGGTAAAACTTGAGCCCCATGCTCCCAGAACCTCAGAGAGGCTGCCTACCTTGCTCCTCTGCAGGCACTCCCCAGGCCAGAGTTCTGCAGCAGAGAGCAGACCAGCCTGGGGCCTCACTTAGCCCACCAGGGGCCTCCTGCACGTGTCCCTGAAGAGGGAGTGAGAAGTGACCGCAGCCCTAGAATCCCTGTGGCCCTGAGATACTTGGGCTTGGTGTCCTCACTCCAAGTACCTTTGCCCAGTCCCCTGCAGGACACACCCTCCAGTACCAGCTTCCAGAACTACTGCCCCTGGCTGCCTGGTTTCTCCTGCTCTATCTCCTGGTCCCCTCCCTGTCCCCAGCTTCCCCTGTGCCCTGGGGCTCCTGGCATCCACGGTGTGCTTAATGCTGGAGGTTGGCCTACCTCCTCTTCCCTTCCAGGACGCTCTATAAGATCCTGGACAGCTGCAAACAGTTGACTTTGGCCCAGGGGGCAGGTGAGGAGGACCCAAGCGGCATGGTGACCATCGTCACAGGCTTTCCACTGGACAACCCCAGTGCGCTCTCAGGCCCCATGCAGGTAAGTCCAGGCAGTGGGGGACGGGGGTGAACCAGGGAGAGGTGCCAAAGCAGCCTCCCTCCTTAGACCACTCCTATAGTTGCTTTTCCTTCTTCCACCATCCCTTCCCCAGCCCCAGAATGGGTCCCAGAGTTTAGGAGGTCAGGCTCTCCCCCAACAGCCCCCCTCCCCCTTCCACAGGCAGCCCTGCAGGCCGCTACACATGCCAGTGTGGACATCAAGAATGTTCTGGACTTCTACAAGCAGTGGAAGGAGATTGGTTGAGATGGACCCCCCCCAGGCCCTGCAGTGGGGCTGCATCCAGATCTCTCCTGCCCTCCCTGGCAGCCAGGACCACCACCTGTAGTCACCCCACCACACACAGAAGCACGCACGCAGGAAGGAAGCCCAGCTGCACGCAGGCCGCAGGGAGGGCCCCAGGAGCTGCAGGGAAGGCCCCTAAACCCTTGGGAGGGCGGGTCCCCCTGTTGCGAAGATGACATCAGGAGAGTGAGGGAAGTGCTTGGAGCAGGAGAGGCATGTGGGCCCCCCACCCACCCACCTGCCTCAGTGCCCCCACCCCCACCCCCCCACCGCTGCTGTCCCCATGGGCAGGTGGCCGGCATGGCATGGGAGTCTGTCTCATTGGAGCAGTGTGTGGACCTCTGAGGGGAAGGGACAGAAGGGCCCCTCTTTCTCCCAAGACACGGCGGTGGGTGCTAGGGGAAGAACTGGGTACCAGAAGACGTCTGGGTGGTCCTCTGCAGTCCCTTCCCTTCGAGGACCTCCCATCGTCCTCTCCATGCAGGTGGGACAGCTCTGGAGCCTTGGGGACTCTGGAAGGAGAGGGCCTGGGAGTGGGGCCAGGGTGTGACCCCTCCTGCTGCCCCACTTGTGCTTTCTGTCTCCAGTCTCCATCTGCCCAGCTCAGTGAGCCCAGCCATCAATGGCCATCTGGCCCACGTGCCAGCCAGGGTTCCTGTACCCACAGCCCCATGGCCATGGTACCTGGAAGAGAAGGGGGTACAGTGTGAGGCCAGCAGCCCCCTCCCTGGGGGAGGCCTGCATTGAGGTGGGCAGCAAAAAGGAGAGCCCCTGAGAGCTGCCCCATCAGGGGTCTGCTGTCCCTGTGGGGCTGAGCATGGGGCAAGCTTGGGCAAGTGGCAAGGGGAACAAGCCGAGATCATGAATAGCTCAGGGCAGTGGGCAGAGTGGCCGGCGCAGGCGCTTTGGGGGGCTCTGGCCAGGAAGCCTCAGCCCCTTACCCTAGGGCTGGCCAGGAGCTCAGCCAGGGGGCCGGGGTTCCTGGCTCTGATGCCCCCTTCCTCAGCATTAGCCTGGCTTCCCAGGCTGTTCTTGGAGAAGAGTGAGCTTCCTGCCTCCTTCCTCTAAGACAGTCTGGGACAACCTGGGGCGGGGTGGGGTGACCCCCATGCCCAGTCCATGGCAGAGACTGAGACTAAAGCATCACTTAATAAAGACCCCTCGAAGCCCACTCCCTGTCTCCTGGTGCTGTTCTGTACAGTCGTGTTGGGATGTTGGTGCTTTCTCGCTGAAATGGCATTTTGGGCAAGTTTCTTCGAGGTGAACCCCTCAAAACTGACAGCTCAGGCGGAAGGAAGTTCCACGGCTGGTTTTGTGGAAGACGCGGTCAAGTTCGGAGGCCCTGTGAGCAGGGGTGCAGGCAGGAAGCTTAAAGAAGGCAGCTGCGCCCCAAGGGCCACACTCAGGGTCTTGGCCTTGGTCCCCCTGCCGGGATTGGCAGTGTGTCAAGATGGGCAGGAATGGTGATTCCCTGGTGGTTGAACCAGCATTTACTGAAGGCATTTGCCCTGGACTGTGCCAGCCCCCAGGTGCTGAGAAGCATCCGGACACAGAGAGGTGCTTCCTGAAACCACACATCAGGATGGGGACTCAGCCTTGTCTGCGGAGGGGGCCATGCGGCTCCTGCCTGTCGGGGCCAGTCTGGTGTCCATGGGTGTGGGTGGAGCTGGAGGGGCTGGCTGTGTGCAGGAGGCTGAGTGAGCTGCCTGCTAATGGGGCCGGGCCACCCTGAGCTGCTCCCTGGGGCTGGACAAGGCCTGGATTGTTCCTTGGCTCCTTTTGTCTCACTCCCCGCCCAGGCCTGGCCCGCCTGCCACTCTCTCCCTCCCGTCAGACTGGCTGGCAGGAGCCTGGGACTCTGCCGGAGGAGCCCTGGGCCTGCTGACCCACCAGCGTAGGAGCACCGGCCAAGCTTGGGGTAAGGACGCTCACCTGGGGCTGTGACACCTGCTCTGGCCCACTCCTCGGTTTCCATGGCTACAGCACACACTCCTCCAGAGACCCTAAACCCTGCTGCTGAGGGACAGGACCCTGAAGGGAGCTAGGCCCTGGCAATCTTCACTCCCAGCCAGCTCCCAGGGAGATGGACAGCAGGCAGGATGGGTCACACCACCCGATCCCATTCCTGGGAGGCTTCATCTAAAAGCTTAGCCAGGGCATGGGGGCTAGAGACAGGGTGTATCTTTGCTTAGCAGGGTCCCGGGCACCTAGCTCAGGGGCCCAGGGCCTGGCAGGAGCAGAGGCATAGGAGGGGGGCCCACCAGCCCTGTGAGGTCCAGAGTGCTCCGAACCAACCGCCACAGCTGGCGGCAGGAAGAGGGGTGAGGCCAGCTGCATTGTTGCAGGGATATTTTGGCCTGAGGAGGGGGAGGGTCTTACTCTCCCTTCCCCTGGGCGGCTCCACCCGCCTGGCTGGCCCAGCCCCTCTGCTGGTGCCAAGGAATGTGCCTGGAGTGGCAGGCGGAGCTGCGGCCACCCGGAGGCAGTGCACAGGTCTGGAGCTGAGGGGTATGGGCTCAGGAGGGTCGGGGGGGCCCCCCAGGACACAAGTGTAGTCCTTAAAGAAGAGCCAGGCACCCACCCCCCATTCGTTGCCCTTCCCACGGCCATCTGGCCTCTCCAGGAATTCTCAGCAAGCGCCATAAACTTTCAGTGTTCAGCCCTGGTTCTGCCGGCCAAGGGGCTTTCTGGTGGGGGGGTGGGGGTGCTCATGCTTTCTCTGCACTAACCACCCTGACTCGGGGTTTTTTTGAGACCGAAACTGCGGTCAGGGGACCTGGATCCAGAGTCTGGGGCTACTAACCTGGGCAGCCTTTGGGCTGGGGAGCACACTGCAGTCCCACTGTACAGCCCACCTCAGAGGGGGAACTGCTCTGGGCTAGGATGGAGAGGGTGGGGTTACATGCTGTGATGACCTGATGACAGGAAGCAGGATGGCCTCCTCCCCCACCCCACCCCCCAGCCTGCAGGAGTCAACTCCACCCTGGCTCCCACCCACACCCGCAGTGTCCTGCACAGCCCAGCCAGCAGCTAGGGGACCAGGCCCGGCCGGGTGAGAAGGGGCCAGTGGGTGAGGGCAGATTCCTGATTCCCTCACCCTGCACTTTGTCTCTAGGTCAGCGTGGAGGTGCTGGGCTGCCATGCTCAGTCTCAAGCTACCCCAACTCCTTCGAGTCCACCAGGTCCCTCGGGTGAGGGGCTTGACCCACCATCTCCCATTCCCCAGGCTACTTATGGGGCAGAGGCCCTTCCCTTGAAGCAATAGCGGGGGTGGGGGGTGGTCTCTCCTGCAGGCCGTCTCATCCCTACCATCCCTCTGCCCTCTAAGGAACCTGCTGGCGACCCCTCCCCAGAGCCCCCTCCTTCCCCGGGGCTCCCGGTCTGTGCCCGCCCCCCCCCTTCCTCACTGTCCCCTCCTCCGTTTGTCCTCCGCTCTCTGGACCTGCGGTAAGATGGGGATCCGGTTGGGTTTGGCTTTGGGGCTGTTGTGACCTCCATCCCAGTCTCATCGATGCCGCTTGCAGAGACCTCTCCCGGAGAGGGAGGGTCGGGCGCTGTGACGCCCCTCCTGTGTCCCACCGGCCCCTGCACAGGTGTTCTGGGAAGACGGCATCATGTCTGGCTACCGCCGCCCCACCAGCTCGGCCCGGGACTGTGTCCTCAGCTCCTTCCAGATGACCAACGAGACGGTCAACATCTGGACTCACTTCCTGCCCACGTGGTGAGGCGCGCCCTGAGGGCTCCCCGGCGGGCAGGGGCCGGGGCTGTGCGGCCCGCGGGCGGCCGGTGGCCTGAGCACCTGCCCCCCCCCACCCCGCCCCGCCCCGCAGGTACTTCCTGTGGCGCCTGCTGGCGCTGGCGGGGGGCCCGGGCTTCCGGGCGGAGCCGTACCACCGGCCGCTGCTCGTCTTCTTGCTGCCCGTCTGCCTCTACCCCTTTGCTTCGTGCTGCGCGCACACCTTCAGCTCCATGTCGGCCCGCGCGCGCCACATTTGCTACTTCCTGGACTACGGCGCGCTCAGCCTCTACAGCCTGGGTCAGCCCCACGCGGCCCTCAGGGGGGCGGGGCCCTCGGTGGCAGGGCCCGGGAGCTGCGGGGACCGGGCAAGGGCGGGTCCCGGGAGCGATGGGGGCATGCCCTGGTGTGTCGGGGGGCGCTCCAAGCAGGAAAGGGGCGGGGCCGAGGTGTTCTGGGGGCGGGCCCAGGGCGGGGACCAGAGGGTGCTGGGGGCGGGGGCGGGCGGGGGCGGGCGGGGTTTGGGGCCCGGACCTGGGCGTTCTGCCCCGGGGCAGGGGTGGGGCCGGGCACTCTAGGGGGCGGGGCGCGGCCTTGGGATCTCAGCTCCTGCCCCCCCACCCTTTTCCTCTTCAGGCTGTGCCTTCCCCTATGCCGCCTACTCCATGCCGGCCTCCTGGCTGCACAGCCGCCTGCATCAGCTCTTCGTGCCTGCTGCCGCACTCAATTCCTTCCTGTGTACCGGCCTCTCCTGCTACTCTCGGTGGGTTCTCTGCAGGGGCGGAAGGGGCAGTCGGAGGGACAGGACTGGGCACCCCCAAACACACTGGAGGCCAGTGGTGGAGTTCCTGACCAACATGAGTGACCATGTCCCGACTCACCAAGGACTCGGGGTGCCGCTGGGGTGCTAGCACCACACCTGCGCATCTCCTAGTTCCACAGCTGCCCAAGGTAGGCAGGTGTCCCCGCTTCACAGCAGTGGTCATTTCCACAGGGGCCACCTGCCCCGAGGGCTTCACAACCACTTAGCTACACTGACATCCGTCTTGGCCAAAGGACACCTGTCCTGAGAACACCACCTGGAGAAGGGTAACCAGCCTCTCCCTTCTTCCCTCCCTCCCTCCCTCCTCTAGCTTCCCTGAACTCGAGAGCCCTGGGCTCAGTAAGATCCTCCGCACAGCTGCCTTCACCTATCCCTTCCTGTTTGACAACCTCCCGCTCTTCTACCGGGTAAGGGGGCCTGGGGCCCCTGATCTTCCCCTAGAGACACTCCCCCCCCAGATACTCTCCCCCACAGAGGCCCTCCTGCAGAGCCCCCCCCCAGACCCTCCACCCCCAGAGCACCCCCCCCACCTCTGCCGTCCTTTGCCAGCTTGGATTATGCTGGGGCAGAGGCCACACCTGTGGGCAGGAGGCGCTGAGCCCCAGCCACAGCTACCACCTCCTCTGTGCACTGCTCACCGGCTTCCTCTTCGCCTCTCACCTGCCCGAGCGGCTGGCCCCAGGGCGCTTTGACTACATTGGTGAGAGCTCAGGAGTGGTCCCTGTCCAGGGAGGGGTGCGGGGGGGGGGGTAGCATCCCAGGGCAGAGTGAACAGGGATGAATTATCACAGCCAGAGACAGGGCCTAGGTCCAGGCTCACCCTCCTCAGATAACAAAACCAGTAGCATGTACACTGGGGGCCTGATGCACACTGGCTCACTCCCATGGGTAGGTTTTCTTATTCCCAGAGGATGCAGTAGTCAGGGTGGCCCCTGGGCATGCGGTCTGTGCCCTGAGCTGCCCCCACCCCACAGGCCACAGTCACCAGCTGTTCCACATCTGTGCTGTGCTGGGCACCCACTTCCAGCTGGAGGCAGTGCTGGCCGATATGGGATCTCGCCGGGCCTGGCTGGCCATGCAGGAGCCGCCCTTGGGCCTGGTGGGCACAGTAGCCACGCTGGGCCTGGCAGTGGCTGGGAACTTGCTCATCATTGCTGCCTTCACAACCTCTCTGTTTCGGGCCCCCAGCACAAGCCCCCTGCTGCAGGGCAGCCCCTTGGAGGGGGTTGTGAAGGCCAGACGACACTGAGGTCCCATCTCTGAGCCTGCCCCACCCCACCCCGGGGAAGGCAGAGGCCAGGCTGGAGGCTGGGAAGGAGCCCAGATCCCAGATGGGGTCTGATGAGGTGGGGTGCAGGGGGAGCCTGGAGCCAAGAATGACTGAGGAGAGAGGGCATAGGGGATGAGGGGGCAGAGGAAGTGCTGGCTATAAGCAGGAGGCAAGGAATGTGTGCTTAGTGGGGCCAGGGCAAGTGCTGAGGGTCTGAGAGGGGCAGTGCGAGCATCCAGGCTGCAGCTAGCCCCTGGCAGGACGCTGGGGACAGGGGTGCTGCGGCCCTTCCACCCACTCCCATCCTGGCCTGCAAGCCTTTGCCCAACACACGGGAGAACTAACATCACTAACGTAGCAGCCCCCCCCCCCCCGCCACTATGCTGTTCATCAGGCCACGAGGCCCACTGTGCCTTCACCTCCCAAACCAGGTGCCACCTGCCAGCAGTGCTTGGCACCCCCCAGTCCCCCAGGATGTGCCTGTTCCAGTCACCACACGTAACTCAGAGTGTCCAGGCTGTTGGGTCTTTCTGGATGTCATGGGACGGTGTGGTAGGGGGGCACCCATTATAGTTTTAGGAAGCTGCCTCCCGGGCTTCCAGTTGAGGTGGGTACAAATAAACCAATCAACAGCAGCTTTGGGGAAGTACTTTCTGGGACTGAAGATGGTACACATCCCCTCCCCTGCCGCCCTCACACACCAATTCCACAGATGCACAGAGACAGCCCCACCAATTCCTCTTCTGGAGTTTATTCTGGAGCAGCTGTGATGACAGGGACCCCACACTTGCAGGGCAGGGAGGTCAGGGTGAGGGGAAGGGAGGGGTTCTGGGAGAAGGGGGGGTGGAGGGGTGGAGAGTGGGGCTGGCCGCTCTAGACCGGGCCATAGAAGCGCTGATAAGCTTCCTGGAAGCCAATGTGGTCAGCCAGCTCGTCACAGTTGGGGTTGAGCTCACATACTTCCCTCTTGGGCTCCAGGGGATCCGGGTAGGGGGCCGGGGCGCTGACAGGCCAAGAGAGTGGCATCAGCCTCCAGGAAAAACACCTGCTGCCACCCCCCACCCTGGGGGACCTTGGAGTCCACATCCCTCATCCTGGATTTGCAGCCACAGGGCCCTGGCCCCCTGCTCACCCCAGCCCAGAGTCCAGGTAACGCCGGAGCCTCCTCACCACCTCACTGCCCTCCCGCTTGGACACGAAGGCTGTGGAGCAGAAGGGCCGACATCAGGTGGCTGGGGGCTGGCAGGCTGCACACATGCCCCCCCCCCCCCCGCTCCCGCCTCATACCTGCACCTCCTCTGTGGGATTCAGCACCACTGGGCTTTGCATCTGCAAAGAAGAGTGCCCATTTCATCCCTGCTCATGGGGGGGGGGGGGGCTGCACCTCCTCTCCCTCCACCAGGACACAGCCTGCAGGAGGGTGGTTGGACTGGGAGCTGGACGTGGGGGCACTCACCTGCTGGGCCAGCCAGGCAGAGGCAGAGTGCAGCCACGGCCAGCAGGGCAAAGACCATCAGGGACCGCATGGTGGGTCGGTCCTGTCTGTTCTGTCTGTCTGGGTCTGTGAGCAGCTGCTGCTGGGTCTTAGCTGGCCTGCCTCTCACCGTCAGCACCCTTTATACTCTGGGTCGTGCCCTGGAGGCAAGGGGGGGCACCCACCATGTATGCTGTGGGCGGGCCACGGGCAGATCTGCCAGGGCTATTTGGGAGTCATCCGCCCTGGCTCTGGAGGCCAAATCCCAAAGGATGTGGTTGGAACCACAGCTGCCTGGGCAGGTCTGGCACCACTGCAAGGCGTGCACCCCAAATCACCCAGCTCCAGTGTCAGTGGAAACACCAGCTAGGCAGGCCAGGAGGGGTGGGACAGGAGCCTGGGGAGAAAGGGGGGCTCAAGGCCTAAAATAGACTCCGGTAGAGCTTGGCAGCCCCTGGAAGACTGTGATCTGCACTGTTGGCCCGAGGGCAGGAGCCAAACCCCAGGGAGGGAGGGCCTGGGCAGTGATGCCCTCGTTGACCTGGAAGCACCCTACCCTGTGGGACGTCCAGGGCAGGCCTGGTGTGGGGCTGGTGCCTCAGACCAGGACCCCAAAACCAACAGAGGTGGGCAGTTAGGGAAATAGCTCTTCTGCCTCTGGCAGTGGGGACCCTCTCCCAGGGCCCCTCACAGGTGGAGAGGCAGGGCAAGGAGCAGGGAGACGGGGTGCGCCTCTGGCTCCTGACCTCTGACCCTATTCCTGCCCTTGTGGCCTCCTCAGTGCTAACAACTGCGGGGACCCGTCTTCCAAGACACAGACGTCTAGCCTAAAAAACCCCATCTCAGCACACCTGAGGGTGAGGAGGGAGGGTGTCCTCACTCACCACCCAGCACAGGTGGGGACCTGACATGGCACTTGCTGCCCCCAGCCCACAGCCCAAGGCTGGGCAGGAGGGCGTCTCATGTCAATGCTGCAGCAACCTGGACTCTTTGTCAGTGGCCCCAAACGGACCAACCAAGCCTCCCTGGGGTGAGGTCTTCTCCAGGAAAAAGTTGTGCACCCCACGTGTACCCATCCACTTCACCCACCAATCAGAGGAGGCACCTGTCCTGCTGCTGGCTGAGCACCCCCAATGGCCAGCTGCCCTGGCCAGGGAAGAGGGCCCACCTGCCTGCATGCATGAGCACTCACTGCACACAATACCCAACGGAGGCCGCCACAACGAGCTCAACAGGCAGAGAAGGGTGGAAGCCAGGGGTCTGGCTTCTGTGACAAGGGGCCCTGCTGCCTCCCGCACATGGTGGTCGGGTTCACCCCTGCCAGCCCACCTCAGCCTGGAGGCTCCCAGGCACAGTGGTTGAGGCCTCGCTGGTGGAAGGGGGCCCGGGCCCAAGAGACTGGGAGAGACCCACCAGAGGAAGCATCCTCACAGATTACAGTGGAGGAAGTTTATTTACGGATGTGGGGAGAACATGGCAAGGGCCCTCAGGCTGGCCAGCAAGGGGGCAATCAGTGCAGACCAGACACAGACTCCCTGAGCCAGGCACCGGGGCGCTCTGGAGTGGGCAAGGGCGGGGCCCTGGCCTAGATGATGGAAAGCCTGCTGCCTGGTTCCCAGCATGGGAGATGGCCAACCATCCTCAAAAGGATAAGAAAACAAGGATCTGAAGGTCATGTCTGTATGCGTGTGACCCCAAGGGAGCCCCAAAGTCAGGAGAGATGATCAGGCCTCATCCTCCAGCTAGTTACATCCCCACTCAGGACTGGGCACTGTCTCGGTGGTTCTGAGAGGCAGCTCCCCCAGGCCCTTGACCACCATCTGCTCCTGATCCGGCCACCGTCTCCTCACTCAGGCTCCCCCAGCACACCCACCAGCTCCTTCTGTTCTCTGCGCAGGGCCTGCAGCGGCAGGAGGGAACAAACAAGACATGAGAATATCCAAACCCTCTCCCTCCACTCTGCTTGACCCCAGGCCTCCTTCCCCTAGGATGACGTGGAAGGCCCAGCAGGGCATGTGAGGGCCAAGGCCTATCAGGAGGGTCCCCTCTACTCCAGAGGGGTTTATGGCAGGCTGGGGGCTGTAGTCACCGGGGCTGGGCCTCCCCAGAGTGCCCACCATGAATATGAACCCCCAAAGTATGCCCTGATCATCTGACCTCCCACCAGCGATTTCTAGCAAAGATACTCTCGAGTTAGGTGAGCTTGCAACTGGGGAGAGGGCCATGGGGAGGACAGAGCCCTCCTGGTCCCACATGGGGCCCAGTACTTGGCTCATCCAGCCGACCCACTGCACACATGGCTGGGGTCTAGCTACATTGGGTGAGGGGCAGCTCTGAGCAGAGGCTTCGAGCCCCCCCAAACAGAAGAGTGACCCATGGCCTCACAGAGACAGAGTGGCATTGCTGGGGCAGCATCTCGCCTGAGGACCCAGCAGGGCACCCCAGAGCCAGGGAGGGGTGAAGACAAGAGTGAAGAGCAAGCCACTGGCCCTGCTCCAAGGCATGGGGACCCACTCCCGTGAGGAACAGGACAGTCAGCTCCCGGAAGGCAGCTGCCTAGTGGTTATGAGTAAACACAGGCTGGACATCTGCATGACGAAGCAAGCCCAACACTGGTGCTGCTGCCCAAGCCCTACCAGCAATCCTGGATTGCTGAGAGAGGGCATACGGGGACAGAGGGAGGGGGAAAATCTGAAGCAGACTGCGCCAAGTGCAGAGCTGACCTGGAGACCACAACCCGAGCTGAAACCAAGAGTTGTCAACCGAATGAGCCACCTGGGCACCCCCTCACATATACATCTTAAAGTTCCTGGGAAGTGGTCGTGTAGAGAACCCAGGGCCACGGGGTACTAACCCTGACAGGAGGAGCCAGCCCGCAGCAGGAAAACACCTGCCAGGGCACCCACCTGCCAGGCCTGCTGCTGGGCCTGACCTTGCTGCTGCAGCTCCTCCACCTGCCGGCGCCCAGCCAGGACAGCCTCTGCCAGTTGTCTGTTTTCGGCCTCCTGCCTGTGCACACGGCGCTGTAAGGCGTCCCGCTGCTGCAGGAAGTAGGGCACCATGGCACTGCGCACGTCTTCTTCCGGGATCCCGCTAGGGCGCCTGTGAAGTCATATGGGCCAGTGGAGGGGTTGGGGGGGAGGTGTGTGGGTGATACTGCAGTGGTCTTCCCGCCTGCAGTCTCACATTATATGGGTTTCCACGGCCCCTGCTCTGCTGATAGACTAACCTGTGAAGCCTTAACTTGGGCCCCCAGGAACCCCTCTCCCTGTCCTCTCAGTCCACGTCTGAACCCATCACAGCCACATGCACCCCCACATCTAACACTTCAGGGCAGGAGGCGACCTTCCAGCTGCTGCCTCATCCTGGGGACCAGTGAGCTGGAGCGTGGGGTGGGACTGGATGAGTGGGGGACCTGCAGAGGCCCCAGCAAGTGGGAAGGTCGGCAGATGAAGAAGCAAGAGTATGGGGGTGCTGAATGCTGTGTGAGGGGACGGGTTGGTTCTGAAGGGCAGTGAGGTGAAATCCGCCAGAGGTTCTTTAAAATATTCTTTTTCTGTTATAAAACTTAATTCTCTTACGTGTTAAAATCACAAAGCATAAAAGAACTGGAAAGCATGAGGAAGGTGTTTCCTGGCTCTGGTCTGATGCTGTTCATACAGGGAGCTGGTGGGGCCCCATCCTGCACAGGACACCCCAGGCCACAAGGTTGCCTGCAGGAATGTCAGCTCCAGGGGAGCAGGACTTGTTCACTGCTGCATGTTCCCCAAATATTGTTATGTGGATGAGTGAATAAAGACCAGATGCCTAGGCTGATCCAACAGAAGACGGCAAATCCACCCTTCCGCCTCCTGCCCACCCTCTCTGCTACAGCCAGGTGGGGCCTGAAAGGAGCCCCCGGCAAGGATGGCACGGCATCCCTCCATCTGCCCCAAGCCCTCGATAACATGCGTCTGCTCTGGGGCTCTCCTTACCCAGAGGAGACCATAGGCTGGCTGCACCCTGGAGGTCAGCGGCGGTCTCCCGCAGGAGCCTCCAGGGGCCGGAGCCAGCTCCAAGTGCCCTTCTCACCAGGCCAGCTCCGTGTGGTCTTTGCCTTCTTCCACGATCCTGTCCAAGGTGTTCAACACTGCTTCCAGGTTCCCTTCTGCTTTGATTTCTGAGATTTCCTCCTGGAAAGAAAGTGGTAAGAGCGCTAATGACACAAGACAAGCCTGCAGTGAAAGTACGTCCCACTGCCGACAGGACTCAGTGAGATTTTGGCTAATTTCTGTGTCTTTGTACCAACATTCTGACTTCTCTCCGTGTAACTTTAATAATTAAGAACAGGAAATAAAAGTAGAAAACAGTTCACAGCCTGCCCGTTGCCTTAGGGTGCTGCAGTCCCAGGCCTGGTGCACCTATTCTGTGGCCCCAGACCCATCATGCTGCTGCCCAGGCCCATCTTGCAGTGTGGGGGCTCGGCCATGAGACCCTCTGCACAGATCCGATCCGTCCCACTCAAGCTTGGACTCCAGTTGTACGCAGGTCCACAGAGCACCATGTTGTGAAGCACCTCCTCCGAGCCAGGCGCTATACCAGGCGCCGGAGGTGGGGAGAGGAGCCAGGGCCTGTGGGGTAGAAGGCCTCCTAGCACATATGCACGGCACCAGGGCATGAGGGCAGGGGCATGCACGGTGCCTGTCCATGGCAAGGGGCAACAGCCACTGCTCTGAGCCCTGGGGGTGCCCAGAGGAGCCCAAGCTGCCACTACCTGCTGTGCTCCTTGCCACTCACCTGGACAGACGTCTGCAACTGAGTGATGAACTTGTCATAGATTCTCTGTGTCATCTCAGGCTGCAGCTGGTAGAGGCGCTTGTAACAGTCGGTGAATCTCTGGTAGCTGGCAGAAAGGAGAGACAGCAAGGTGGAGGGTCAAGTGTACAGCCAGCCTGCTGCACCCACTGGGCCACCCCTACCTCCCCCTCAGAGCTCAGGGCCTGGTCAAGTTCATGGCCCTGGGTAAAGGCTGTGGGTAAAGCTCCGATCAGCCCCACCTGCCCCCAGTCCCACCACGGTGCATCAAGTCACCAGGAGGGTGACTCTTTGTGGGCCACTCCCTCAGTGTCCAACCAGCTCCCAGGTGATGCTGCTGCCAGTGTGGACTGAGGTCCCTGAGAAAATGGTCATCCCAGTCTCTCTGCTGGGCTAGATTAGGAAAGGATGTGTGGCCCCTGGGACAGGAGTCCCTCCTCCTCAAAGGAGCCACATGGGGAAGGAACAGGCACCCTTTCTGTAGGATGTGACTACACGTGCTGGAGGTGACACCTCCAGCTCCCAGCCACTATGGGGGCCCTGGCCTGAGGGCAGAGTTTATACCCTAAGTTGGTGACTGGAAGAGAACTGTGGTCTCTGAGGATGTCATCAAGCTGCTGAAAACCCCAAACCAGAGCCATTCCACATTGGGGCTGCTGGTCAGTGAAGTCATGGATGCCTTTCACTGTTCACACCATTTAAAATCCTGCCTCTGTGCCTGGCAGTGGAGAGGGCCTCCCTGATCCATCCTTGGAGCTGGAAAGATCAGAGGGTACCCAGGACACTCCCAATGGCTCACGCCCTTGGACAAAGAAATTCAAAGAAGGTAAAGCAGTCTCTTGCTTTTTCTCTCCCCACTCCCTTTCTCATCTCTTCACCTTCTGCCAAGGTTTTGTGCTGGCTGCCAAGCAGGTCCTGGGTATTCTGGGAGGCTGCGTGGCCCTCCTGGAGTTCCCAGTAGAGAGAGACCAGCAGACACAACCATGTGAACAAGGAGATGGCCACTTGTGGAGGTGCTTTAAAGGCAAGGGTTACAGGGACAGCCTTTAAGCTGGCATGTGGGGTGTTCAGTGAAAGCCTCTGATAAAGCAATGTTCAAGTGACCTACATGAAATGTCGGAGCCAGGGAGTCCCCAAGCACACAAAAGCCCACATCTATGCTTGGCTGTGGGACCCAACGCTCCTCAGTTGTGTGGCCAGGCTGGTTGGCTGCTGGACAAATGGGGGACTAGGTCCCTGGAAGCCCGTGCACAACCCCCACCCCCCTCGGGGAATCACCGCTGGTCCTTCCTTTCTCATGGCTCGACCTCCCCACCCAGTTCTTGCCCCTACACCATGTCTGTGACAAGTTGAGAGCACACAGGGGCTTGCAAGGGACACCTTCTCCACTTTCACAGAGTCTGTGAGCCTGCTGTTCACCACAGCCAGCACCGGATACCAAATTACATAATCTAGCAGTAAATCATATTAAAAGCAATGGTACTGGGATCCCTGGGTGGCGCAGCGGTTTAGTGCCTGCCTTTGGCCCAGGGCGCAATCCTGGAGACCCGGGATCGAATCCCACATCAGGCATCCCGGTGCATGGAGCCTGCTTCTCCCTCTGCCTATGTCTCTGCCTCTCTCTCTCTCTCTCTCTCTCTCTCTCTCTCTCACTGTGTGCCTATCATAAATAAATAAAATTAAAAAAAATAAAAAATTAAAAAAAAAAAAAGCAATGGTACTAACTACTCAAAACACACAACATCCTAATCCTTCCACCACATTCTCCTTGCTCTGGAGGTGGCTTACATCATCTGTCTGGAAACACTCTGTAAAGGTGTCTGCTGCCCATCTTTCCCCAACTCTGTATTGGGCATTTACACTTTGGAAGCTGGCAAATGCAGTAACCCAGGGCTTTATTTTTGGAGGGCTGGATGCTGGTACACCATGGGGGTTAAACCTTGGCACCAGTGACCAGTACAAGGGACAGATCACGGGCACCCTTCAGCCCTTGTGGGGGACTCAGGCAACTTGTGTACCGCTAGCGCCACTCGCCACGCAGTCTGTGGCTTCACAAAGAATGTGGAAAGACACAGGATGCCCAGCCAAGCAGGGCTGGAATTGAAACCTGGTAATTGTGGCTTGAGATGGACTTGGATGGGACATTGGAGTTCCTGTTCCTAACCAGCCCACTCACCAGTGGAGGGTGTGAGTGGCCCCCTTCCTGCACTCAGGCAGCAGGCTCAGTGGTGAGGGGGCCTGGGGCCAGCAGTCTTCCTGTGTCCCCACTTAGCTCTGACTCCGTGAAAGCGAAGCCCATTTGCACAGACCCCCAGAACAGTGTGAATGGCTGCCGTGAGGGCACGGAGAGAAGGCAGCCGGACTGGAGGCCAATGTCAGCAAGACAGGACAGGGATCCTTGCTTTTTTTTTTTTTTTTTTCCAGTTTTCTTGTGATAAAATTGCCATACCTCATTGTATGATGGTTTGACTCACATATACAGTGGAATGATCACAGTAAGTATAGTTAACATCCATCACCATCTCAGAGAGAGAAAAAAAAACAGGGAAGAAAAGTTTTTCATTGTGAATGGGAACTCCTACGACGGACTCTTCACAGAATGGCATCAGCTACGGTCATCCTGTTGGACTCCACACACCCAGGATCCATTCATCCTCCAGCAGGACACGTATGCCTCTGTCTACCTTCCTCCTACCCGCCTCCACACTGCCAGGAATTCCTTTCTTGAGAGCTGGCACAGGCCTGGGAACTGTTTAAATGCCCTTATGATCTGAGAAAATACTCTCAGGGAGAAGTAGGACAAGTGATGCATTTTAGAAACCATTCAGGGCCATCTCACCCCCTGGCTTGTGCCAAGTTTTGTCTTCTCATGTAAACTCTCATATCTCTGTGGGCGGGGAGGCCACCTGCAGAGTCACTGGGACCTCCAGGGTGCCCAGAACTGTTAGATGTGGCAGCACATAAGCCATGCTGCAGACCAGCAGCTGGGCCTGAGGAGACCCTACCTTACTCCCGGCCACCTCCCCACCTGCTTGGGCAGAGGAGTCTCCCTCATGAGCAGCCCCAGTGGCCTCCCTGCCAAGCCCCCTTTTGCTCTCTATTGGAATGGTACCCTGGCCTTGGCCTTCCACGGGTACATAAGGGTCACCCAGCTACACATTGGTACATGCACTGGTTCTGCAGACTCACAGCCTATCCCCTCTGAGGTTCAAATTCTACCTCTACCACTTGTCAGGTGAATGATCTCTGACTTCTTTACCTTTATAAGCTTCAGGTTCTGCCTCTGTCAGGTGGGGATAATAAATGGATCCCTGACTCACTAAGTCACTGTGAGGCCACATACATAAAGTACTTAGTATAGTGCCTTGCACACTGACAGGCTCCATGCTAACTACAATTATTATAACTAATTTCAAAAAAACAGTCCTCACCACTCCCTCAGAAGTGCCAAACAGTGACTTCACTTGACTTGGCTTCCCAGAGTCGAGAAGTGTCTCCTGCCCAAGACAAATGCTTAGTAAAAGCATCCTAGTAGCAGCTGCATGCACAGAAGCCAATCCAGTGGCAGGAAGCACCCACTGGCCTCACGACAGAGAAAAGGCTAAGTTGTGGCCTCCCCAAATCATCAATTGAAGGTCACTGTTTGAAATGTATTTACTGAATTTCAAAATACAGATGACCATGTTAACTGATTTTAATCTAGTTTGTCTCCACTCTTTTAAAAAAATGTTTTATTTATTTGACAAAGCGAGATAGACCATGAGCAGGAGGGGGGCAGAGGAAGAAGCAGGGTCCCCTCTGAGCAGGGAGCCTGACATGGGACTCTACCCCAGGACCCTGAGATCGTGACCTGGGCTGAAGGTAGAAGCTTCACTGACTGAGCCACCCAGAGGCCCCCTCTTCACACTCTTTTTTTGAACTTAATTATTTTTAGTAATCTGTACATCCCATGTGGTGCTCGAGGTCACCACCCTGAGATCTAGAGTCACCTGCTAGGATTGTGATGCCAGGCACCTGGCTCTTAAATCCTCCCTACACAGTATCTGAGACACCTGCATGGTCTGAACTCACTGAAGAAGCATTTCAGGGCAGCCCGGGTGGCTCAGTGGTTTAGCGCCGCCTTCAGCCCGGGGCGTGATCCTGGAGACCCGGGACCTGTTGGGCTCCCTGCATGGAGCCTGCTTCTCCCTCTGCCTGTGTCTCTGCCCCTCACCCTCATGAATAAATAAATAAATAAAATCTTAAAAAAAAAAAAAGCATTTCAGTAATTGTACTAAAAGCTCACTGCAAACTGAGTTATCACATAAGTTTAACTTAAAAATTTCAAAATACCGAGGCACAGCATCAAGCCCCTGGGGTCAGCCTGGGGGTTTGTGCCTGCAGATGGCTCTGCCTGCGCACCTGGCCGGCCACATGGCCTAACAGAAGCTGGTCCTTGCGGCTTGCTAAGCCCCTTCACGGACTGCCCCCAGAGGACGCCTCGGTCCCAGCCCAGGGATAGGGGTGTTATCCCTGCACTCTGCACCTCCCCACCGCACCTCTCCACCGCCTGGACGGCAGCCCTGAGGTGCTTCTCCATCAGCTCCTTCCTGCTGCCTTCTCAGTCCAGGGTCCACTGGGCAGCCCCAGGCCTGACAAAGAGACAGGAAGCCAAAAGGAGAAATGCTCCTAGATGACAGCACAAGTCTGTGATTTATGAAGACAACTGTAGCAAAAGTTATCTTTTAAAAATTAATCTTCATTAGGGGCACCTGAGTGGCTTAGTTAAGTGTCTGCCTTCTGCCTGGGTCATGATCTCCAGGTCCCCTGTGTTGGGCTCCTTGCTCAGCAGGGAGCCTGCCTCTCCCTCTGCCCCTCCCCACCCCCATGCACGCACTCTCTCTCAAATGAATAAAATCTTATTTTTTATTTTTATTTTTTAAATCTTATTTTTTATTTTTTTAAAAATTTTATTTATTTATTCATGAGAGAGACAGGGAGAGAGAGAGAGAGAGAGAGAGAGAGGTAGAGACACAGGCAGAGGGAGAAGCATGCCCCATGCAGGGAACCCGACGTAGGACTCAATCCAGGGTCTTCAGGATCATGCCC